ATATGGGACGTCGTCATATGACCGAGAAGCTTTGTAGGTCTTTTCATTGGCCGAAGATGTGACATGATGTTATCTGGTATGTATGTAGTTGGATTTGATACCAAGCTTGTAATACTCCCTTTCGTGTTGCAAAAAGATAGTTAGAGTTAATTGCAATTTCCTGTCTATTTGAGTTTGTGGTATTTGATCTAATGAGGCCTTTTCCATAATCAACTATTAGTATGTTATTATTACTTCTAACTACTTGACTTGTAATTTATTTAAGGGGCTCCTTACTCATTAGAAAGGACCGTATTGGGTGTTGTAGCAAGTGGGATCATAAGTTTATGAAGTTTGACATGATATATAGTAAGCCAATCCTCTTAAAATTGTACATGTATAGCAACTGAAATGCTTTGTATAAAAGGATTAAGAACAATTAACACCACTTACAGATCTATCAATACTTCCTTTTGATATTCCTTTAATTGCAAGCTCATCTATAAGAAAACTTTGATGGTCTTCCATCATTCTAAGGGGAGGGGATGATTTTAGGTCCAAATGTATAGTTATAATGTTATATATTAATATTAATGTAGTGAGATCTTAGTAGATATTGGATTGGTTTCAATCTAGACCATTCACTTTTGTATATAAACTAGGGTTTTTAAATTAATTAAAATGCACATCTTCTGTCCAGAACAAAAAGTTGAGTGTCAATGTTAGTCATCACATTGCATATGATTGATGTTATAGCACTTTCTTATCTCAATTGGCCACCTCCAATGTGTTCAGAGCAAACATCAGCATGTTTATTTGCTGGACTCACATGGGTTCTCTGCAGAAGTATAATTAGGGGATTTACAAATCATACATTCCCCCGTCTCCTTGCCTGAGACACCCTGAGGCCCTTTCTCCCACCACACTCCCTCCTCCCTTTCTCGCTCCAAGAGCCGTGTCTGCCAGCTTTGTGGCCTGATAATACTTCTCGAGCACCCAATGGTTCAAATCTGATCTTTGCAGTCACATGTTTCTATGGCAGCAATTAAGTATGAAGTCTTCATATCACACAGAGGGCCAGATGCAAAACTGTCATTTGCTGATTCCCTGAATCAGGAGCTCAAGAGGCAACATGTGCATTCTTTGACAAGGAAGAGCTGCAACCAAGACAAGGAATCCCCAGTCAATTACTCAGGGCACAGAGGGATGCCAATATCTATGTCATTGTTTTCTCTCCCAAGTTTGCAGAATCAACATGGTGCAACGCAGAAGTTCTTGAGGCTGTCAAAGCCATGGAGATGCAGCCGGATTGCAAAATCATTTATCCTGTCTTTCATGGAGTCGACCCTCCGACATGGTTATAGAGATTCTTTTGCAGCACTGACAGCCAAAGGTCGTGCCACTGAGGAAGAGGTTCAAGAGTGGATAGCGGCATTCACAACGGTCTCGATGATCTCAGGACATGTAGTGGATCTCAATGAGTTAAGTTCTATCATACAGAGTTTTTTAAGACTTACATGTTGTCTGGTGTGCAGACAGACGAGTGCTACAACTGCAAAGATTGCCAAAGACATATTTGAGTTTCTTTTGAATGCATCCGGTGGAGAAGATGACGATCCAAGTGAAAATGGGTACGTTGGTAGTGAAGGCCGAGTGGCAGGCATCCTGTCCAGGTTTGGAACTCAGCGAGTCCAAAGCTCGACATTATTTGTTCCAGCAAAAGCGCCTGTCCAGCGTCAACGTCTTGCTGGTGCTTGACGATGTGGAAAGCCACGCCTATCTCCTGAAGCTGCTCCCTCCTCTGGGACGTTCCAGCCGCGTGATTGTAACCAGCCAAGACAGAGACACCCTCAGGAGCCTCACCTTCATCCATGCAGTGGGTCAACTCAAGCACGAGGATGCGAGGATGCTTTTCGAGCAGCATGCCAAACCGGACGCCGGACTGGATCGAAGCCTGGTGGAAGAGATTGTGGGCGAATGCAAGGGCGTACCCCTGGTGCTCGAAATGGCTGGTTTGATGCTCCAAGGGAGCGCTACTGGAGAGGCGCCAAGAGCAAGTTAAGCTCCTATCCAGAAGTTGTGGACAAGTTGCGCATCAGCCTGGAGCCGCTGCATCAAAGAGAGAGGGAAATCTTTCTCGACATTTGCTGCTTCTTTGGAGAGGTGAGCAGGGCAAGCGTTTGCTGGATCTGGGAAGCCATGGAAGACGTCGAGGAGAGCATGATGAACCATGATATCAAAGTCTTGTTGGACAAGCACTTACTGCGGCTGGAAAGCTTGAAGTTGATGCCGTATCACGATCTCATACGTGACATGGCCCACGAGGAAGTGAACAGGGAATCCCAAAGCATTGGAGAGAGGAGCCGGATGTGGAACTACAAAGACGCTGATAAACTCTTGACCAGAAGCATGAGACGTGACTCAGCAGTTAATGTAGCTCCGTGTTCTTTTCCAGGGGACTCCAAAGATCAGAACAATGAGCTTATTTGGCAGCAAAGTCTCAAGACGAGACACACGTTGCTTCAACGTACTCAACGGTCTTGCCTTCTTAACCATGGGGTCTTGTCAGATCGACGGGGGCTTTAAGCAGATGCCATATCTGAATTATTTGAGTTGGAGGGGCATGACTTTGGATAGTAGCCTTCGTCATTCATCTCCCGCCTCGAAGACAAATATCAGCTTCTTGGACCTTTCTGGAAGCAACATCAACAGGCTTTGGGATGACCATGACGAGCACAAGGTAGCGAGTCGCAAAAGGTTAAATCACCATTCATAAGTTCACCATTCATTTCAGGTGGTAATGGACAAATTGGTGGAGTTGGTGTTGGATAAATGCAAAAGCTTGACAACCATCAAACACGTGGAGCTATCCAAGATATCAGACGTATCTCGTTGAGATTTTGTTCCGCTCTAACACGACTTGCCAACTTGAGTGAAAAGCTTGGGATGCAAAAGCTTGACTCTGCTACAAGACTTTCCCAGCCACTGCAGGATCCGAAGTCTATCTTTAAGGTGGTGTTCAAGAATTCAGGAGCTCCCTGACTCTATTGGCAACCTTGAATGGCTGGAAACCTTTGATCTGGCTGGCACGTCAGTTTCTAGTCTCCCTGGGGCATTTGGCAACATAAAAAAGATCGAGAATCTGGATATCTCGTTCTGCATGAGCCTGACGTCGTTTGCTGGGCTATCTCACTTGAAGTCTCTCCACATGTTTCGATAAGGTTTTGGTGAGCTGAGGAGCCTTGTTAACCTCGACATGACGGAGTGCTCGCAGTTGACAGAGCTCTCACCTGATTTTGGCAAGCTGGTGAGCTTGGAGGAGCTGATCCTCAAGAACTGTAAGGAATTCAGCATGCTCCCTCAAGGCTTTGAGAACCTGAAAAATCTGTTGAAGCTGGATCTCGAAGGATGTGCTCTTGTTCAACTGCCGCATGCTTTTGGAGGCCTCGGTTCATTGAAGAGGCTTAACATTGCTTATAGCCGCATCCAAGCCGTGCCTCTCTCTATTTCCTATCTTGACAAAACAGAACAACTTCGGCTTGATCACTGCTTCCTATTAACCAAGGTAAGTGGGCTGCCAGGAGCACTGAAAAGCATACCCGGGCAACCCCGAGTTCTGGACGTGGGGGACTGCTTTCAACTTGAATTTTTGCCAGACCTGGGAGAACTACACCACTTAGAGGAACTGATTCTATGCAATTGCATCAATCTCAAGGAAATACATGGTGTCACCGGACTATCAAGCTTGACTTCACTCAACTTATCTGGCTGCGGCCAACGTTCCAGGCCTTAGCAAATGCAAATCATTGCAACGTCTTTATCTCAGTGGTAGCAAAGTTCACATCTCCCCCAGTGATTTGGAGGTATGTATTTCCTTTCTCATGGCATTGATCTTATACCTTGATTATCCTTATGAAGGTTCTATCCCAGCTGCAAACCATAAGCTACTACTCGTCCAGATTGACTCCTGGATGCAAGAATCAGCTGGCAGTTCCTGTTCACTTAAATAACTCTGAAGCAATAGAGCCTCTTGTGCCAATGCAGGACGTGATACTACTGGAAGAGACGGTTTCAGGTTTCAAGCCAGTGCAAGCAATTGTGATCCAACTGGTGGCACACGATCAAGGATGGTCTGATTATGAACACCTGCATGGGAGGTATACTGGAAATTCGTATTTTGAAATCCGAGTATCAAGAGGGGGTATATACACCTACACCATTGTTTTCAGCAGACACTCGGATGGTCATGACCTATGCCTCTTCCGGAACAATCTTCCAGGTTTTATGGATTATGGGATATGTAGGCTCTTGGGGTGAGAGTGAAGCAGGCCAAGATGAAGATTTTTTACGATCCTGCAGGCACCGCAGCTGGTTTGTTTTCTCACGACCCACAGTTCATGGCAGAGTTGAAATGGCAGCACTGGCGGTACACTGTTGCAGACTGGCTGCCGTGCTGGTTTGAGTTGCGCAAGCTTGCTCCCCTCGACTTGGCACATACCGAATTTACATTTCTACTGTGGGAGAACAAACAGGTGGTGGTGGAGAAAGTGGTCAATGAACAAGAAGAAGAGTCTGTCAGCTTTCCTCGATACAGACATGTTGAAGTCTCAAGTGCAGAATTCCGACAGTTCTTTAATTCGTGTGCCACCGTGAGGAATTCCAGAGCACACCCTTGGCTCGATCTCGATCGTCAAGGTGCCCTTCCTACGCACGGCTGGTCCCAACAGTTGATACGTCTGAAGCTCTTGGCCAAAGGCCCGATTTGTGTGTCCGGGATATGGCTCCAACTCAACATGGAACGGGATGAGTGTTTCCAGGCTCAGGAGTGGCCAAAACGATGGCACAAACGAGATCAGCGTCCGTTTTTTCGGCTGGCATACAGATCCCATCTATATTCGGGATGCAAACTTGGTGGACGCAGGCACTTTAAGAAGGGCGATGCAAATGCTCATCTCTTAGAACAAAATGGTGGCTGGCATATCTTTTACAGCATCGGGTTCAACTTGTCTACAAAGAAGAAGGTTTTGTAATAAACTTTTTCGCTTAATCCAAACACCATTCATACAACGATCATGAAACATTGTTTTTCAATTCTCTGACCTGTTTGTCATCTACCGAGTGCTGATAATCCCTTCACTTCCTCCACTTCTTCCTGCCATACCAGTAAGCTACCCAAGACACCGCAACAGCGACCACGATCCCCGCCCCGACCTTGAATCCGCTGTGCTGCAACAAGTCCGACGCAACAGCCGCCATGGCTCCTCTTTCGTCGTCAGTGGCAGCCATGGTCGAGACGAGCGAGTCGGAAGAAGTGGCCTCGCACAGCGCCAGCGCAAACTTTATCCCCTGCCCCGCCAGGAGCTGCACGTCCTCCACCATCGGCCTCTTCCTCGCCACCACCGCGAGCGCAGCATACTCGCTCTTGGAGCCGCCCTCGAGGAACGCTCCCACCAATCGGCCCCTGTCCACCCAGTAGGCTCCAAACTTCTCCGACTTGAGATCGCCAAACAGCAGGCACTCGCCCGAATTGTCGCCGAAGAACTGCCACGAGAGGCTGAAGACGCGGGAGTAGAAGTATGGGAGGTAGTCGTAGTCCTTGGCTCGCTCCGGATGCATTATGGATTCCACTGCGTGCGCTGCCGACTTTCGGGCGTGGTCGACGTGCTCCAGCCGCCGGACATCGCCATACATCTTGAGCGGAAATGCCGCGACGTCGCCGACGGCGTAGACTGTGCTGTTGCTGGTTCGCATCTTGCCATTCACTTTGATGCCGCCTTTCTCCATTATGAGCTGACCTTCGAGCAAGGTGGTGTTTGGACGGATCCCCACGCCAACCACGACTAGATCGGCCGGAAGCCGGGTTCCATCTTTCAGGACAACGGCTGCTACCTGGATGCGCAGCAGGAAAGCGATGTTAGAGAGGGCGATCGAGACGAGTTTCGTTTTACCTTTCCATCTTTGTCGCTCTCGAACGTTGACATAACAGTGCCTTTGACAAAAACCACGCCTTTCCTTGTGTAGTAGTCCTCGTAGAAGGTGGCGATTTGAGGCGTGAATAATCGAGCAACTGCGAAAGAAGGAAAAAAGAAGGTTTTTGCGTAACGAAAGAGAAAGGATACGTACTGCAATGGGATTCCGGGAAGACCATCGTTACGTGGACTCCATTAGATACCAAAGCCGCTGCGCATTCCATGCCAATGTAGCCACCGCCGATCACCACAGCCTTGCCGCCGCTGCAGCTCTGCATTGCCTCGACAAGCTTGGTTGCATCGTGGAGGTTCCTGAGGTAGAAGATGTTTCGAGCGTCGGCGCCCGTGACCCCGAACTCCTCCAGTCTCAGCACGCGAGCACCAGTGGCGACGATGAGCATGAGATAAGCGATTGTTTCCTTGGCACTGGTGAGCAGCGTTTGTCGTTTCAAGTCGACTGACACGACTTGAGTGTTGAGCAGTAGCTCGATTCCTGGATAATCACGAATTTTTTTATCCTTCCTTCCAAGAGAAACTCATACCGTGCTCTTTGTACCATCTTGCAGTTAATCGCTCAGCTCCAACACCCACGCAGGTATGGAATGCAGGCAATCGAACAGCGCCTGGAAATTGAAATACTTTCAATATAAAAAACAGTTTTTTTCTTTTTGTCTTCAGAAAAAAATGCCGAAAACGAAGAACACCACAAGCAAGAAGATAGAAGAGAAGAAGAAAGAAGAAGAGAAAGAACGCACGCCGAAAGAAAGGATGGCAAGCTGCTGCGATCAAAAGATCAAGGCAGTGTACCTTCAGGAAGCAAGAAGCCCTTGCTGAGTGCCGGTCTTTCATACGGGGCAACCTGCACAAGCAAGCAATCAAACAAACAAGCGCGCGCTTAAAATCCCTGGCACGAATGGGAAATCCTCGTCAATCAATCAATCAGGCACACACTCCCCTGCTTAGAGAAGAAGAAAGAAAGAACAAAAGGGAAAGCACTCACAGCCTCGTCGGTGATGATGCACAAATCTCCCGCCGGTATGCCCAGCCTGACGAACTCGAGCGCCGCGTAGCCCGCCGAGACGCCGCCCCCGAGAATCACAAATCTAAACGACCGCCCCATGGTCTCTTCTTTGCTCTTCCCCCAAATTTGCAAAACCCTCGCAATCTTTAACAAGTGGTGAGTGGCACTTTGGTTGCTTGTTCACTCAGCTCGGCTCAGCCGCCATACTTGTTATAGCAACAACGTATCCCCGCCTGCTATTTATAGAAAAAATACGTCATTCATTCCACTTGGAATGCTTGCGATGCCGAGTTAAAAAAGAAAAAACGCACTTTGCATGTACTAAAAATCGAACCTTTACAGAGTTTCCGTGAATCTTTCGAGTTTCTTCGGTCCGTCTTGATTCTTGCCACAAGAACAAAAGAGATGTGAAAGGTAAAGGTTGGAAGAACTTTTACCATGATCGAGTTTTGTAGTGGTCACTTGCAAAGCGATGCCAGAACACGCCGCGGAGGAGTGAAGGGTCTTCTCGCATGAAGCACGGCCAAGTTGTCGATGAGGAGAACATCGCCGCGGCACCACGGGATTGCCACGCTCAGCTCGTGTATAATATCCAGGCACTCCAAGACTGCTGCTCTCGGCAAAGGACTGCCATCGCCAAACACCACTGCGCGCTCCGCAACGTTTCGCGCGTCCTCCCAGCCCGTGTAGGCCGCCACCATGCTGTTGAACCAGATCTTCCTGCCGTGGCTTTTCTCGTTTTTGATTGCTGGGATTGGTCCTGATATCGTCTTGAGGCAGCCATCGTCGAGCCATTCGACTTGCATTCCCAGCTTCGCAGCCCTGAGAGATGGATGCAACATGAAAAAACTCTTGCAAAGAAAAAAACGGTGGAGCTACGTACTTGGCTTGCGCTTCGCTTTTGTCTTTCGTCAAAAAAGTCGATTGCCAGCCCCGTCCAATGGGAGAAGATGGATCATCACCTTCGCCGAGAACTCGGATGTAGAGAAGGCCTTTGTCCTCCAGATCTTTCACAAACTCGGGGAACTTGGAAGCCATCTTATCGTAGATTAAATGGCTGAGCACTATCGGAGTCTCACCACCTTCTTTGGCCTCCACCTCACAATAAAAGAAGAGCTTTGACGGATACTCTGGAACCTGAAAAATTCGCTGGTTTGTGAGTATCAACATCTAGTCACTGCAAACTTTGCAAACTCTAAAATTCTTGAGAACAGACACGCGAGTAAAGAAAAGAATCAAAGCAAGCAATAGAAAAATCCAGAAGGAAACATTGAAAACACCAAAGAAAGAAGGAAAACCAACCTGTGCCATCTCATGGTGGAAGGGAATTTTTTGATCCGGAGGGGACTCATTGGAAGTGAAGACTCTCCCTACCACGTTTGTTCTCGGGGCCGCTCCACCAACGTAGGGCAGCTCTTCGTACCCAAATTCCCTCACCACCGCATCGAAATCCGCGGCGCTGTCCACGCCAAATCCCCTGAAAAGAACAGCGCCACTCACAAACAGCTGCTCCTCGATCCAATCCTTGTGCTGCCGGATCCACCCCCTGAAGCTGCCGACATCGCAGCTCGCCGCCGATGGAGCCAGAATGCGAGGGAACTGGACGCCATCGAAGACGCGAGGCGGTGGCAGAGCCTTGAAGGCGCTGGGAGCCAAACGACCCATTTTCGCGACCTAGCTTTCTTTCACGCCCTCGTGAAGCCCATCCAAAACGAAGAATCAAAGCATATCCTTGCTTACAATGTACCTGGACTAGAAGTATTCCAGGGGAGAAATACGTAGCGCTTTGAGTGCCCGGAGATCAAACATCCGTTGTAGTCTAGTCGGTCAGGATATTCGGCTCTCACCCGAAAGACCCGGGTTCAATTCCCGGCAACGGAACCTATATTTCATTTTGACCTCGTAAGAAATATCCGCCTTTTTTACTGGAAGAATATACGTTTAGGGTTCTTGAGGAAATTTCACTTTTTCCAAGGGCATGGCAAGCAGCGCAGTGCACAATTTGTGCCTCCCTTCCTCGTCTACTGCTGACAGGAGATTATCGCTCGGCTCGGGGCGTGGATTAGGTGCCGCGGGCCGGCAGGGCTCTCGATTCAAGACATTGCGTGTCGCGGCATTGCGGCAGGACGGAGGAGGAGACAGGGACGATGGTTTCTCGGGTAAGAGGCTCTTTCTATTCCTCCTTGCCCTTCATTCTATCCTCCCTCGCTTCCTCCATTCCAATCTGACTGACAGGCGATAGATTCTCTCCAGGTGACGAGCCTCCGGAGTCGCTCTTCATGAAGGAGCTCAAGCGGCGCGGCCTCGCTCCGCCAACAAAGTACTCTGGAGCTTCCACCGAGACCAAAACCAAGCGCGAAGAATTTGGCAGCGGCGAGGATAGTGGCGACACCGCTCAATCATTCAAGTCTTCCACTTCTTCGTCTTCTTCCCCCTCGAATTCCTCCGAGTGGAGGGATGATAGGAGTGGCCAGCTGAAGCGAACGCTGGCGCTCAATAGCGAAGGCCTTGACGTGAGTTCTCCATTCCCATGCAAACCTTCGATAACTTTCCTTTACCAGGGACTCATACCGCGAGCTCAGGAGCTCATCAAGCTCGGCGCGACGTTTTTCCTCGCCTTCTGGCCGCTGATCATTGCGATTGTCGCGCTCTTTGTGGCCATCTATCTGGTGAGTTCATCCATCATCTATGGAGAAAGTTACGATTTTGCTTGGTTTTCTCTGCAGTACTTTGGTCCATCCTTTATACACGAGGGAGACCTTCATGGCGGAAAGCCTCCGTACGTGGATCCTTTCCAGCTGCTAGAAGAAGAATCGCTGTCCAAGGAACCGGGATTATCGCCGTATGTTCGCTGAGAACTGGCATGCGTGATTGGTTTATCTATAGGGGACTTGTACAGAACATATCGCTTCCATATCCAGGAATGTTTATTTTCTCAAGCAGGTAGTTTGTATATCGGGATTTTTCAATCGTCGTGCGCAAGTTGTCTGACGTGATCGATGTGTGATCTACTTCTTAACTTCAATTGTCTTTGCATCTTGATAGCTATGGATCAAGGTGGATCCGGACCAGTGTGCAAGGCAAGTGAATGAGACGACGTTATGGTTTCTTATGAGATTTTTTTATTTTTATTTTTTTGCTTCCAGGGTGTTCGAATGTTTGTGAATGTAACTAGCGGAATCTCGTCAGGCCTGAACGTTACAGTGCTGAAGGGAATCTGTCGACTCCTCGGTTACGAGTTTTTGGAGACGATCGAGCACTATTTGGTGGGAAAATCTCCCTTGACTACTGAGCGTTTCTTTTAAATTTTTAGGAATGCTCACCATGCCAAAAGCTGGACGACGCGCGGCTCACGAAGAACTATTTACAAATCGACAACCACGAGGAAGAGAAGCGGCGATTGACAAGCACTGTGGTTATTCGAGCCGCTCCAATCGCGAGAAGCTCCGAGTTACATCACGAGTAGTGGAACACAGCAAATTCTCTTAACAGATACAAGCATGATAGACAAACTTGTACGTACGTAGACGCGTAACTCACATTTATTCTTTGGATGACTCCAACGTTTCCGAGTCAGACATGGAGCTTGACTGTCTTGCCACCAAAAGTTTTTGGATCACTCGCAAGATCACGACTATAAGGCGTAGTTCCATTCGGACCCAAGACACCCAGAGTACCTGCGATGCAAAACGATCAAAGCCGGATATCATATCACACAATTGAAAACTCTCAGCGCTGATCGATGAGCTTTGATCACTGACCGGATGATACGAGCTCCTTCCGGAAGCTGTAGGCCTCGAAGCGCAAGTGGCAGCGGTCGTCGGTGCCGTTGATCCAGTAGCGAGCGCCGACGGTGAGCGGAGCTACTTGCTGGATGTCCGTGTAGGTGTGCTTGATACAGTCCGAGCAGCCCTGCTGGTCCGCCATGCCGTAGCAAGCCGAGTGCGCGTAGGCGGTGTCGGGAAACTCGCCATAGCCGAGACATGTCGCAAATCCATCGGGGGGAGTGGAGGAGTAGAGGAAGCGGATGACGAGCTCCAGATTCTGGAGGAATGGGCTGCCTCGAGTGGTTCTGGCGGTGTTGAAGTAGATCACTCCAGGGACTGTGTCCTTGGTGGGGATGTCTGGAGGGAATTGGATTTGCGCACTGGCGATGGAGAGAAGAAGCTCACAAGCGAGGAACCAAGCGCCCAAGGCGCTCCACTTTGCTAGCATTTTGCGACACAGTGGCTAGAATCTTTCCAGTGCTAATACTTGACTTGACTCACAGAAAAGATTGAATTGAAGAAAACTTGGGAAGTGGACAAGAAGGTCTGGATGGTGTAGTTGGTCATCACGCTAGTCTCACACACTAGAGGTCCCCAGTTCGAACCTGGGTTCAGACATAATTAAACTTTTTGTTAAATGTTTTTCTCATAATTGTGCTTCAACGAAGTTCCATATCGAGATAGTTTTCCTCATTTTTTTTCTGGAAGTTCCATCTCTTTCTCAAGGATTCCTTACGATAGTTTTCCAGCGAATTCCACCAAGCTATGTGTTTTGCGACTTGTGAGCGTAGAGATTGGAAAGCATGACATAAGAGGTAGCATCCCCTGGCTGGAGCTTCCGGAGTTTGAGAGAGCTACACTGTGCCTGCCTGGCCGAGCTATGAGTCTTGCAAGCACCCAGGAAAGTTTTCCACGCCACCACACTGGATCCCAGCGCCTTCTCCTCGGCTAGCAGCCTCTCCGCTTCGTCTAGCCATCCAACTCTGCCCAGGAGGTCCAGCAAGCAGCGGCGGCAGTGCTCGTTGCTCTGGGACAGATCGTAGTCTCTCACCATGGATCCGAAGTATTGAGCAGCCTCTTCCAGTTCACCGCCATGGCTACACGCGTGAAGCAAGCTCACAAACGTAACCTCGTCCGGCGACTCTCCCTCGACCGCCATGGCGTGGAAGACCTCCTTGGCACTGCTCACGAGCCCCTGCTGGACGTAAGCTGCGAGCATTGCTGTCCACGATACCCTTGTCTTGGCCGCTGCGATTCGATCGAAGAACTTTCGAGCTCGATGCAAGCTCCCACACCTCGCAAGCATGGTCACCATCGCATTCGCCAGCACCACCGCGTTGCTCGAGTCGACCCAGCTGCTCATCCTCGAAACGATCCTGGCATGGAGCTCCATTCCCCGGGCAAGATCTCCAAGCTCGCCACAAGCTCCAAGCAACACAATGTACGTTACCTCGTTCTCCTCCACATTCGCGCCTTGTTGGTACAGATCTAGCGCTGTCCGGCTATGTCCGTTCTGGGCATATGCCGATAGAAGCGAAGTCCACGAAACCGCGTCTCTCTCGAGCATGGAATGGAAGAGGCACGCCGCGCCCTCGATGCTGCCGAGCCGTCCATACAAGCCCAGGAGAGAGTTGGCCGAGATCAAGTTCATCTTTCCTATGGCTTGAAGACGCTGGTGGATTGCCTTGCCTTGGGACAAGCTCTCGCAAGCAGCGATGGCGATGACAAGAGTGGCTTCGTCCGGAGCGAGGCCTTCCAGATCCACGCGGTGATACAGCTCTAAGGCGCGCCGCCTCTGGCCAGCTTGAACCAAGGCTGTGATCATGATCGTGTAGGAGAAGATGTTTGGCCTTTGGATCCCATCGAAGACCTGCTTCGCGTCTTGCAAGCTCCCGCAGGCGCCATACATTTGGACCAAGAGGTTGGAGAGGAATGTCTCGCCGCCCAGGCCGCCATCGAGGATTTGCGCGTGGAGATGCCTGCCGCAAGCGAGCTGTCTTGGCTCGTCACACTCTCGGAGTAGCATTGCAAATCTGGTGCACTGCTGGAACTTTGTCAGGGGACCCATATTGTCCCCATAACATCAGCAAACTTTCTTCAATTTAAATCTTTCGACAATGACTCTATGGCAAGAAATCAACATTAATTATGTATCAATGTTTATCAAATGCCCATCTATATAAAAATTCTCTATATAGTGAAGGAATGCACCTGATGAAGGAGTTCCTGGGTAGGGCAAGCATGTTCCGCCCAAGTTGGGTGTTAACCTGGTGAGTGTGTTCTAGAGGGAACACTAGCGACAAAACAGCTTTAATGGGTTGTGGTGAGACCATTATATAAACACATGGCATAATGTTATTTGAGGATAAGAGGGTTCTTTAGAACCTGGCAGGCGGCAGTTGGGTTTGTCAGCCATGTTCTCACAGAATTTGACTTGATCTGATGGGTGCTAACAATTAGATTGAGTTATTAAGTGAGCCACAAAGGGAAAATCTCTAGTTGGCAAACATTTTCCTAATAGGAGATAAATGTATGTGATGGGCATTTACATAGTTTTTAATTATGAGTAAAACTTTTATGCATTTCAATGAGAGATGGGTGTGATTGTTGCAACATGAAGGTATGTTTAAATTGCTTTATTAGTTATCACTTTTATGATTTTTCCTTTCTTCTTTTAAGAGAAGGTATGTAAAATACTTTCTAAAAAAAGGATTGAATAATTTTTTAAATTTTTTGTTAATCAACTATGGTCAACCACCTTGTTAGATATAAAGATTCTATATATTTTAAGTGTACTCAAGATTGTTCGAGAGACATAAAAAAGATAATTCAATAATAAAATATAAAAAAGTTAGAGTAACACAAAAGAGATTATATTCATTGAAAAAAATGTTAAGGTAGAACAAAAAAGATTGCAAAAGATGTCTACTATTTAATTGATAATAATAAATTTGAGGAATATATAAGCCTATCACATAAAAGTTCTTTTCCAATCTAGGAAAAAAAAGTGGTAAAATCAAAGTTTATTATCTTTACATCCATGTAGAAATATTTTTTCCTTCTAAATTTTTTTTACCTCTATTATGACATTATAGGTGTATAATAAACACCCCACAAGCTTCAAAATGATTTTAGCATTCATGAAAAAAATCTATATTGAAGTTGTCTATAAGAAGGAGGTTAACTATGAATATTTATACATAAGAACCACTATTTTCAAAACAAAAAGCAACTTTTAAATATGGTCAACAAAAAATATATGAGGCAATAACAATTAATTAAAGCTGAGCAATTAAGCATATAAAAATGTTATATTAGCCATCAAAATATTTATATTATAACCATAAAAAACAAATCATTTTGAGTACATTTGGATTTCACTATTGAGTGTATTGTTGCTTAATAATTAGACACTAAAAAACTATATAACTTATGTATTAACAGAATAAAAAAAAGATTGCAAAAAAACATGTATAATGCTTTTTATTAGCTGAAGTTCATATTAAAACTATGTACTTTTATTTTTCTTCTTTATATGTTGGTGATGCACTGATAAAAAGTATCTGTCATTATAACTTTTTTAAGTGAAAAAGTTGATATGGTTAAAATAAATGTTAAAGTAGGGGTTGAGACTTTAGATGATACAATAATTTTATTAAATTCGATTACTTTAACTTTTGCATGAATTTTTTAACCTCCTTTATTAAATTGAAGTTTTTGAACTCTATATTAAAATATTTTTTAACCTACAATAACATATGTTAAATTAAATAAACATTCACAAGATTTACATTTTTTTGTCTTTCTCTAGTACGATGTGCCAATACCATAAGTAAATCTTTGGAACATCCGTTCCTCACCATATAGTATTTATAACTCATGTTGTTCATGAAATTATTGCTTATGGGGTTATGACAAATTAGCAATTTAAATGTATAAATAATAGTTGAGTTCTAAGATTTATAAAAAATTTAATATTTTTTTGTACTATTTATCAATGTGAAACAGTTTTGCTTACTAATAAAAAGTAGGTAAAATCAATCACAAACCAACTTGCAAATTGCAAAAACAAAAGATATCAACAATTTATTTTTTAAATTTTAAGGTTTTATGGTCCATACAAATAATATATTTTTTCCTATCACCAAAAATCTAAAGAAGTTTAAAGAAAAATATCCTATATTAGCGAACTTTTTCCTAAAAAACCTTTAATCTGTATAAAGAATTTCTTCTGGTATTAAAGAAAAAATGAATTTTTCCTAATATAAAAAAAAATTTAAGTTAACTAATCAAGAGGCTTCTTTTATCTAGAATATATTTATTTATCAGAAAGTAAATGTCTTTAGTGGGAGTTCATCAAAAGAAAAATAAAACATATAGTTAGAATAAAATGTTTTTAACAAAAAGTTTATTGTGGTTTCCTTTCCTATTAATAGAATTGTTAGAAGAAATTTTGATCTAGCAAGAAACTTTCCTAATGGAAAATTAAAATTTTCTAATTATCCCATATTATGGAAAATTTCCAATTTTCTTAATTGTTATAGAAACTTTCCTTCCATTGGGGAATGACTATTTGACATAGTCAATTTCATTTATCCATATCCATTAAGAAGATGTTAGAAGTTTTTAGGAAGTTTGAATATAAAAATATTATAGAACCACTACAAAAGGATTGCAAGATTGAATCATAATGTAAACTATTATCAAAATGTAAACCATTATGATCCATTATGGCAATTTAGCTATTATACAATAATTAATGTTTATGTCAAGAAGACTCTTGCTAGCTGGAAATTTATATATATACTAAGCATATGCCATTCACTTGCAGATCAGTTTATCCAGAAGGGGTAAATGTAAGAGATTCTACCCAATGTTAACTCATCCTCATCCAACCTTTTAGAGATATCCAACCTTTTGAATATGAATGAGAATTTTTGGATGTCTAGCATTTTGGATGTCCAGGTGCTCAAGTTCATATGCCTAGTTGACTAATCCAGTAATCCAATTTCTCTTAGTTTTAGTCATGGTTAGGGGCATGTATACATGGTGATTGAAGCATGAATCAATTAAGTCCCAATTCTTAAACTTGAGTTTAGGGCTAGGTGCCTACTCAGGGTCCTTGAGCTTTGGAAGCCCAAGCTCCAGGTGCATGAGCTTAGGGTCTCAAGGTGTCTATGTTATATAAATTTGACAAAAAAAATTCTGGCAAAAATTTCATTATGCAATTTTAAATTAAGTTCTTTCAATTTTGAAATCTAAGTATTATGCTAATACATAATTTTTTATTGAAATTTTTATAAAATTTCTCTAAACAAAGATCTTATTATTCCATATTGATTCTTAGCATTACATTTTCATGTTGATATAGCCTCTATCTTCTTCTTTTCCTGGTATGGCTGTTTATGCTTTTTCACCTGGTCCTTCTGCTCCTTTTCAGAGTCCCTCCAGCTTTCTGCAGATGAAGACTTACACTCACACGTTACAGAAACGACTCATGTCATAGTTTGCACTGGAATTTGTGGTTGTGGACGTCCATCCTTCCTAAGAGTCCTTCATCACGCAGCCGCCACATTTGAGACTTCTTCAAAGATGGTTCTCTAGCATGAGCAGGTGTGACAAAGTCAGATAGTCGACGGCCAAAGGTATCAAAAGTAGGCCCAGCCTATGGCTCCTTCGGAGTACTGCCTAACCAAAGCAACCCATGAAAGAGGTTGAGAGGCCCTGGCGCAGGGATGGCAAGTTGCTAATGCATTCAGCCAGTCGGCTCTACAGGTTGACAAATCCGGTGGTTTGTGTTTTGCCACATGTGCTCCCAGCAACCACTTGATCCAGATCGTTTACGTCATCCTCCATCTTTGCATGTAGTTACTGAATTGAATAGCTGCTTGTTCGCTTTCAGGAGGCCACTCCAACAGCTTCTCTCACGTTGACGTTGTGAGACCGACAATACTGTAGCACTGTAACCTGGAAAGCCTCGTCCAATGACTTCATCAAAGCAGATTAATGGCCTTGTATCTAGATTCGCCCCAATGAAAGGAAGCCCAGCCAGATGCAAGGTTCCACCATGTCTCTTATGGTTTTCCTTCAGACTTCTCAGAACGTAATAGGATTTTAGATGGCGCCACGCATCTCTCGAAAGAATGACTCCAAGTTGACGTACGAGGATCCTCCGGGGGCTGCGGCCTCTCTGGCTGCATTCTCCAGCTTCTTTACATTCATCCTGAATTCTAGGATCTTCTCCTTGTCCATGAAGTCGCTCAGCTTCTCTGCAATCTCTGCCCTCTTGAGAAATTTATTGAAGGCGCCGAGTCTCATTCCGATCTTCCAGTCCTCGGACATGAGTTTGCAGTTGAGGCTTTGATCGCTGTGTCGGGGCCAACCGAGCATTGGTACACCGTTGCAAATGCTCTCGAAAGTAGAATTCCATCCGCAATGCGTCAGAAAGCCTCCGATTGAGGGATGAGCCAGGACCTTGAGCTGAGGCGCCCATGCAACAAAGCAGCCCTGATCTTTTGTGAGTTCTCTGCATTTCTGGTACAAGTCGCATCTACCATTCAGGACTGTGTCCGGCCTCAGCACCCATAAGAATTGTTGCTTGCTTGCAGCCAGGCCCTCCATAAATTCTTCAAACTGAGCCTCAGACAATGAGGAGCAACTTCCAAAGGAGATGTATAGGATTGATCCTGCCGCTTGTGTCTGTAGCCACTCTAAGCATCCATGTTCTTCATGTCGAAGGCTTGTTTTGATTTCCCCCGACCCTGTTGAAGTTAACGGAAACAATGGACCTATAGGTACGTACCGAGGTCCTATTGTCTGCTTCATAACATCGAAAGCGTGGGGCTCTAGCTCGTAAAACGAATTGACCAGCACCCATGTTGCATCTTTCATCTTACCGGGGTGCTTCGCCCAGGCTTCTAATGTTTCCTTCTCCATATCGTGCAGATATTCAGGAAAGTCCTCCAACTTTGTAGGGGGAAGGCCAGGCACATAGTCGATCACGCACTCTGGATCTGCAAAAATCGAAAGGCGCTAACTCAGGTGCTTCACAGATGGAAGGTTTAGTACCTCTAAGAGGGAAAACTCCTTTGGAGGCGAGCAGACACAGATGATGGCTGATAGAACTCCAAGCAGCGTTGCCAGGGAAATAGCTCACTGAAGGAAGCCCAAACTTCTTAGCAATTGGTTTACTCCAGAAAAGAGATTCATCAGCAAGTATGCAAGAAGGTGCTGGCTCTAGTCTTGGTACCAGTGCCTCAAATTCGTCTCTCAACTTTGACATCAGAAGTTGATGAAATTCTACTCTTTTTTCTTGCACGGAAGCATCATACCCGAAGGGAATATCTACTGGAAATGGGAGAGCCTCAAAGTGGATGCGTTTCCCAGCTGATGATGGATCCCAGCTTTTCAGCAGCTGTTTGTGGATGCTTTCGATGTTGAAAATGGTAACTCGTATCCCATTTGCAGCCAGTACCTTTGACAGATGCAGAAGCGGAGGGAGATGGCCCTGTGCAGGGTATGGAAGCACAAGAACATGAGTCTTATCTTCGGCCGCCATGGAAAGGTCTCTGGGGAGAGACTAAGTCCTAGACACTGTTGGTGGGAGTGCTGCGTGGTTTCCTTCGTGTCGTTTCTTTTTCTTGTCCACTCGTAAACTGTAAATGCTCAAGAGCATTGATTTGAATCCTGACAAACAAAGACCAGCAGCCGTCATATCAGTAATACAAGAATAATTTATTTCAAAAAAACATAAAATGAGTGAAGAACAGGAAAACACGTATGGACAAAGCCCCGCAAATTTTCGACCAATGATTCTTTTCGCCATGCTCTATAGGTTAAGAGATCAATTTACTCAAAACAACTCATTTCGATTGCATGCGGAGTTTTCATTTCCCATGTGTTGAACTGGGTGTGCGGGAGAAGAAACACCATGAGGAGACGTGAGTTTTCTCTCTCGAGTTACACACTTGTTTTCTGCTCATTGATAATCAAGCACGAACTGGTGTGTTCTTTTCACCTTGTCCCCTTGCTGAGGCGCAAGGTCCCTGTCCAAAAAGTTCAACCTCGAAATAACATGAAGCAGGAGAAAGAAGCCATACCTATGGTCACACAGCTCGTCTTAACCAAGAGGCCGTTAGCGCCTGTGACGAATCGCCGCAGCGCCAAGTTCTCCCACCAGACCATGAGCAAAACGAGAGCGAAGAAAAAGTATATCCCCAGAGAGAATGCCATCCGCAACGTTTTCCTGTAGACCAACAAAGGTTTCTAGTTCCTGGCAGGGTCTCGCGGGGTAATTCGAATTGGCCACGTTGACAACCAACCATCCTAGTCATCCTGAAAATGTGGGCGTTGTGCCAAGTACGCTGAAAACCTTGGCCCCCGTAGTGCTAAGTCAACCCCAACGTGGCTTGGTACCCAAGGAGGCCCGATATCTTTTGCGCCATAGAGTGGAAGGAAGAGTTGGCCGAGATCAAGGTTCATCTTTCCTGACGCTGGTGGATTGCCTTCAAACTCTGGCAGCGAGCGATGGCATGCCTGCTGCACACATTCCCAGACTGCATCGCAAATCTGGCGGAACTTTGTAAGGTTCCTAGAGACTTGGCGCTTGTAAGAAACGACCGAAAGATTCCAAGGATTCAAATGAAGAAACCTCGATACCCAAAGAGCCTCACGATGGATTTTAGGCGATTCCTGGCGCCGGATCGCCACACTTGCCCAGAATCGTTCTCATCAGTATCCATTTGTACTTGTGGAAAAGAAATTCAAACAATGGATGGATTTAACAGCAAATGAAATCAATCAAGATGTGGACGTTAGATCCTGCTTCACCTGATATATAGAAGCGACTATGTTCAGGAAGTGAAATCTCCCATTACCAAGACAAAATATGTAGATCCTATTTTTAAAAGCTTCGAAGTGATTACTGTATTGATGCTATTCGTGATGGATAAAGTAGTATCCGAAGAATTACAACCACTTCCATCATTAGGACCATCCAATATAGTCATCACTTCCAAATACTAAATCATGCTAAGGAAAACAAAAAAATTCTATAGGGCTTCTTGAGTGGCCCTGGCTGCTATAATCTGAAATGTTGCATGCTTTTCAGTCTTGCGATGGGGAGATTGTGCGCGGAATCTTTTGCATCCTGCATTATTTAGAGCTTTAAAGCTCTTATGTTTAATTTTAAAGGCTCTTTACTCTAAGCAATACCTTACCATTTAAGCTTTTTGATTCGAACGGCGAGTTTAGCGATTGACCTGCGCGACGAGTAGCGTTGAGAGATAAGAACTAAAGCAGTGTTTGCTGCATGCTAACCTTGTAAAACTCTGCATTTGTAGGACACCTTGAGCGGTGGAAATGTATATGCTTCCATGCCCATTCATCTGCCTTGGTTTTGCTCAGCTTCCACAGGCGAGTCTCGTTGTATGCATCCACATACCCAGCCAGTGGTGTGCCAATGGCTTGCATGAGCCTCGTGTACGTCACGAGAGCAACGTCGCCCGACAGGAGCATAACTTTGGGAGCCGCAATCGTGGAGACTCTTTGCGAAAAGTTCCCTGATTGTCTCATGTCGAAGTAGAACTTGTGGAATGGGAGTCCCTCCACCAATTGCCCTGTTTGGATCTACTTAGTCCGCGAGCAAGAAGAAAGATTTAACAAAAACCATGCCTTGTGCTTCTGGTTCGAATGCTGTCAATCCAGTGTCACAAAGTTTCTCATACGTTCCATAGTCCCCGTCGTCAATGGCTCGCAATAGCTCCTCGGAGAGCTCAAGGAGTTCATTCTACACACGATTACGAGAGGTCAGCACCTTTGTTAGAATATGAAAAAGAGTAACGAACCTGAAGAAGTGGAGCGAACATAACCTTTTTTAACTCCGCATGGAAATTTGAAGGATTGATCTAGAACAAACATAGTAAGATCTATGGAAAAACCAAAGAAAAGGAATACTTTTCTGAGCAGTCCATTACTCTCGTAATGCTGCAGAAGCGTTGGTTCACAACCATTTTGCTGCCCTGGAACCTCCTGTAAAAGCTGATTACTAAAGCACGTACTACTAGAGAACTTACCAAGCAGAGCACGAATTCGGGAATCAATCCAGTCTGTTAGCAAAGAAGTGAGAAACGAAAAAGATGATAAAAACATGCTTTGCGAACCTTTTGCTCAAACACGAGGTAATCTTGGAGAGTACCGGGGAAGTCCTCAATCACAAAGTTTTTCGACCCGCTCTTGTTCATCGCATTTGCAAGAAAATCGACTTTTGATTCAGCTGCAGTTGTCCTGGAAAGGCACAAGAGCTACAAATGTTGAAATTGTAAACGATGATTCTAGAACAGACCCCGCAGAATCGATGAGATCCTTCGAGCAAACATACTGTAGTCTAAACTGCCGAGCAATTTCTTGGCATTCTAGGGAGGCGCCAGTGCCTGTGAAAGGCCTTAGTTGGAAGAGAGAAGATATGGGCATTTCCTCACCTATCACAGAAACGTACTTGAGCGGCATTTCGAGCTGAAGAACAGAAAGCCCCAATTGCAAAATATGTACCCTTAGTAACAGTGCATCTTATTCTCATAATTGATCAACCTTAGTGATTTTGCTGAGCGCTAGACCAGTACTCGGCCACAAGCTTTGCAAAGAGCGAGGTTCGATCATTCAGGAGCTTCTCCGGCACGTCGAACTCAGCTACAATACCTGCCAACCAAAGGAGCAAGGTTGGCTGGACAACAAACAAGGTTCACAAGCTTACCATCTCTCAGAGCCAAGACCATGTCACTGTCAATGACCGTGGGAATCCTGTGAGCTACAGTTATGACGGTGCAATCCGAAAACTCCTCTCTTAGAAGTTTTTGAAGGATGGCATCGGTAGCGTTGTCAATGGAAGCTGTCGCTTCATCCAAGACGAGGATGCGGCTCTTTTTAAGTAGCGCTCGAGCTAAACAGAACAATTGGCGCTGCCCGACGCTCCAGTTTTCACCATCGTCTCCAACTGCAAAGATGAACGTCATTTCCATAACGAAATTGAGAGTTTGATCAGAGCTTACCCAATGAGCTGAGCTTTCCTGGCTTCTCTTTTATGCTCTCGCGAAGGTGGCATTTTTCAAGCACCTACGTGACGAATAATGATTTAGAGGAGGACAAAGAACCATACGGAATTATTTTACCTCCCAAATCAAGGTGTCCGGATGCTCCTCCAATGGATCCACATTAAAACGGACTGTACCACGAAATAATGTTGGCTCTTGAGGGATTATACTGAGCCTGGAACGAAGAACTTTAAGTGGAACTTTGGTTATGTCAACACCATCGATAACTATTGTCCCTCCTGCTGGTTCAACTAGACGAAACAAAGCGCTGATTAGAGTGGTTTTGCCACTCCCTGTTCGCCCGACAATGCCGACCCTTTGACCACCCTCAAATGTGCAGGAAATCCCTTTTAGAACTAGTGGAGATCCTGGCACATATCTAATCTGCAGATAATGAAAAGAAAACGAACGTTCATCAATACAAAATAGTCGGATGCTTTTCTTTTGTTCTACCTGAAGATTTTGAAGCTCAATTTTACCGCAGTCTGGCCAGCTCGCAGGAGGCTCATTTAGAATGTTTGTCTGAGGTTCTTCACGTGGAAGATGCAGGTACTGCTTGATACGCTCCACAGATACGATAAAATTGGCCAGATTACACTGATTTTGCACACTTATCACCTGTGCAACGTTCAAGGACAGACCATATGAAATCGCCAGACCAGCAAATCCTGTTACAAAAATTGCTATTAGCAGGTAGTCCTCCAGAAATGGCAAAACTATACCTGCTGAAATTTGACCAGAGGGAAGTATCACCATTACAAGAGCCGAGCAGCACACGATTAATGACCAGAGTGTCTCTAGGCGCTGGATCAGCCATTCATTGGCTGCGTTGCTATAGAATGCAGGTCCTGAATTGTCATCCACAAGTTGTAGCATCTTCTCCATAAAAAGCTTTTCCTTACAATAAGATCGTATCGTCGAAGCACCTGCGATAGTCTCTTGCAAGTAGCTGGCTAGTGGCGATTTCGTTGTACCGTGAATTCTCATCAAGTCTCTAGCCGAAGCCAAGTAGTAGAGCTGCATCTAGAGTAAATACAAGAAACAATGGAATAGTTTGTTACCTGGAGTCTCCTGCTGATATATATTACGGGGATGACCACGATCAAAATCTGCCAAGTGACCGCTGCTGTGACCGCCAGGCTGCTATAGGCATTTAGAGTTGCAGACATAGCAATCTGCATGCTGAAAGGAATGTCGACATCGAGAATACTCAAATCCACAGATAGCTGCCAATACAACAAAAAAGGTGTGAGAACAATTGACGACGACAAAAACAATCAAGCATACCCGGCTGAGTATTCGCCCCGTTGGAGTGCTATCGAAGAACGACATTGGAGCGCGAAACAGGGAGGCTGTGAGCTCCGAGAAGAAGGATTTTGAAGCCTCTAGTCCCATGGTGACAGTAAAAAGAGATCTCAGGTTGACAAACGGCACTGTGCTGAGTCCAATGGCTGCATATATTCCGACCAATCGACCAGCTGAGACGTTTGGATTTCCAACATGTGATGCCATCCACCAGTTTGACGAAAGCTGCCCCCCAGTGAAGACGAGATAAACTAGCACCGCCAACCCGATGTACAAAAACCCGTTGGCCTGGCCGAGATAATAGATATACGGCCTCATTCCAGTGTCTCCACGCTCAACTTCTTCCAGTTTGATCAGTTGGTCGCCTTTTATTCTGTCTGCCACTTGTTCTTGGTCGTGTTTCCTCTTTTGAGAATTTTTGCTGCTCAGCCTTCTGTCCAGCACCCGTTTCTCGGGCCCCTGGGCTCGAGTTCCCATGACATCCTTGTGGGCACCAACAAGGTCTTGGAAGAGCTCGCTTTCTTTTAATAAATCTTCATACTTTCCGAAGCTGTGTATCTCGCCGTCGTGCAGCAACTGCAGAGAGAGATGAGAAAACGAGCAGGAATAAAATATCAAGAACAAAATCGTACCAAAATGGAATCAAATATTGGCAGAAAGTCGACTTGGTGGGTGACAAGGATGATTGTCTTTGCCGACAAAGCCCCTAATATGCAGTTCTGCACAAATATATTAAAAGATACAGTTAGAGCAGCACGATCCAAATCACCTTAAGAAGTAGAGCTCCTGTCTGAGCGTCCACTGCACTGAAGGGATCGTCCAAGAGGTAAACATCCGCATCCTGGTAAATAGCGCGAGCAAGCTGTATCCGTTGCTTTTGGCCTCCGCTCACGTTCAAGCCCCTCTCGCCAATCTCCGTGAGGTCCCCAAACTGTAAGTTCTCGAGATCCTTATCTAGAGCGCAAGCTCTGAGCGTCATGATATACCGGTCGTTTTCAAGTGGAAGACCAAAGAGTATATTGTCTCGAATCGTTCCGCTCTGGATCCACGCTGACTGAGCGACATAAGCAACACTTCCAGACACGTGAATCTGAAAGGCAAAAAGAAATAAATGAAGAGCTGGAAGAACACTGCGAGCATATGTACCGTTCCACGAAGCTTGGGAAGTTCCCCAAGAATTGCATGCAAAAGAGTAGACTTCCCGGATCCAACTTCTCCGCAAACCGCCAGCTTCTCTCCACGCTTGACAGTCAAGGTAATGTCCTTGAGAGTGGGAATAAGCTCATCACTGTCCCAGTCGAAATCCGCGTGTTCAATGCGAACTGCAACCTCGTTGTCACGGGAGGACGATCTCGAGACTATGCTGGGGTCTAGCTCGTCCTCGCCAAGAAAGCGAGAAATGCGAGCTAGTGACACCCTCACGTTGACAAAGGCGGAGATCACGTCCGGAACGAGGCGTATGCTCTCCTGGATAATCCGCAGCGTCGCGAGAGCCGTGAACACATTGCTGGCAGACAGAGGAATCCCGAGTAAGTACGCCGCCACGAAGGTGGAAGTCGTGACCAGGATCGGCGACACCCAGAAGAATATGGAGTTTAGAGTCCTCCGGTACTGCACTCCTCGTATCCACTGGAACTCAGCGTCTCGGAGGTTCTGGATCGCGGCCATGAACTTGTCCTCCCAAGCTTGCAGCTTGAGAATCTTCATGTTCCTGAGAGCCTCCGACGTTGCTCGCAGCCGCTCGTCTTGCGCAGCCATGAGCATGGCCTGACACTTTTGCTGTATCCTCACCACCGGCCCGTTCAAGAACATCGTAAGAAAGATGACTGCCAGCCCCGCGAACGTAGCCAGTCCCACCGAGAAATAGATGATCCCCATGGCGATGAAGATCTGCAGTGGAACCGTCCAGGCCATATGGAACCAGTAAGGGAACTCGCCGACGCGGTAGGCGTCCACCGCCATGTAGTTGACGATCTCTCCAGCGGCGTGGGACTGTCTTCCCAGGTTGGAGAGCTTGAGCTCCTTCTCGTAGATGGCTCCAATCAGCGCGGCGCGAGCTCGCATCCCCACTCGCCGGCTCGCAAAGTACCAGTGCCGCTGGGAGATGGACTCGACCATCTTGGCGAGGAACAAGGCCGCCACCAGGACGTAGCCTTCGCCTTTGAAGAGGACTCTCCCATTGGCGAAAGCGATGAAGGAGTTGAGAACCAGCGGCCCGACCGAGAGCGTCACCGACTTGAGAAAGGCGAAGACCCCGGCCGCCGCCATCTCCTTCCAGTAGCACCGCGCAAGCGCGCTGGAGAGCGACGCGCCGTCGATCCCTCGCCGCCGCCGCTCGAAATCCCACGCCCTGGAGAGCTGATTGCACGCCTCCCGCGATCCATCCTCCGGCGCGAGCGCTGGAATGTCGGCCGGCTCCAGCGGCGCCTTGTAGCCCAGCGCCAGCACGGGATTGAGCCACAGGAAGAAAGCCCGGCTCGCCAATCCGGCCGAGGCATACGGCGTGATCGATTCCCCTGCGCTGTGATTGAGATTCTTGCGCCGTACCTCATCGCCTGGAAGGAGGCGCTGGCGGAGATCGCTCGACTCCATGCTCGCTCCGATCCAATGCTCGCATCAATCAAGCAAACCTATCGATCGCGATCGATTCGCGCACTTGCCACAAAGCCCTATAATATTTGGCAGGACAGACAAGCTCTTGCTAGAAGGTAAAACTCTCTTCTATTCGTCCAGGCGTGGGCAAGAATGGCCAGTGGAAACGATGGCGAGGTTGCGATTAGGGCCGGCGCTTGTGCCAGTGAGCGTACAAGTGACAATGTCCGTGAATGTGTACTTGTACATGAAGGGCAAGAATCCAGCCTCGGTTTGCAATGCCGCCTCGAAGAAGATGTAGAATTCATCGCCATCGCCGTAAGCGACGCTGGGCGACGCTCCATAGAGTGGGGTGGAGCTCGATCGCAGCTCCACGGTCACTTCGGTGGTGGTCTTGCGCGGCTCGTAGAATTGACCGATCTGGAGCGAGAGAGAGAGAGAGAGAATCAAAAAGTTTGCGGGACTTTTGGAGAGATTCTTACGGTTGTGGAGGAGATCTCGCGGAGAAAGATGTTCATTGTCATGAGGCCTTTGATGCTGTAGCCCCAGAAATCGTCGCCATTTGTGATCTTGAGCACCACTGTGGATTTGGAGGCGAGGAGGCTGGTTGGCAGCCCTCGCGAGTCGTGGCCCATGGAAACATTCCAGTAGTTGATCTTGATGCTCTATGATACGAGCAAAGCTGGGATCAATCGATCGATCAAACAAGGCGGAGCTATCTCACCTTGAGCATGACGAGTGGCCTCTTTGGAGACAGTGTCGAGGTCCATATCACCATTCCAATCGCGAGAGTTGCCACAGCGACGAGCAAGCGCCATCGCCGGAGCAGCATTCTTCGAAGAGAGAAAGCAGGAAGATTTTAAGAGGCTTAAATTTAGAAGAGGTTCACAAACATTTAAACACTAAAAACGCAGAAACTTCGGAAAATTAAAATGAGGTTAAACACATAAAAAGGCAAAAAAAAAAAAAGTTTTCTTATTATAAAAAATAAAAGTAATAATAAATAAAATAAGAATAATATTAATATAACGGATATTTTAATTACCAAGACTTAAAACCTAGAGGTTTATGGTTAAAAGTTCTTAAAGGTAACTGATTTAGGGCAGAGGAGGATTTAGGGTTTGGAGGAGAGCACGGCGATGGTGACCATGGAATTGGATCGCGTCGGGGTCGGCCGCCCGGCGTCGACGGTGTCGGACACCATGGACGAGGTACTCTACTCGCGATTGATGCACAGCATTGGCAGGAAGGCCGTGGAGTGGCTGTCGAGCAGCAGAGTTTTGGTGCTGGGCTGCCGCGGCATGGGCGCCGAGGTCGCCAAGAACCTGGCGCTCTCGGGCGTCGCCAGCGTGGGATTGGTGGACGAAGGCACGGTGTGCGTGGAGGATTTGGGATGCCAGATGCTGCTCAAAGAGGGCGATGTCGGGTCGAACAGAGCAGTGGCCACGGCCAGGACTCTGCGAGAGCTCAGCCCTTGCGTGGACGCCATAGCCATCTCCGAGGCCGCGCTGGAGAGCTCGCTCAAGGACTTCCAGCTCCTTGTCGTCACCATGGGGACTCTCCCCTACATCGCTCACGTCAACCGGATGTGCCGAGAGGCCGGGGTGATGCTCGTCGCCGCCATCTCTCGGGGGGTCTTCTCCTTCGTCTTCGTTGACCTGGGAGAGTGTTTCTCCGTGCTGGACGAGACCGGCGAGCCTGTTTCGCCCGTGCTGGTCGAGGGCATTACGCAGGACTCTCCAGCGACTGTCACAGTGGTGGAGGAGCAAAGGCACGGCCTGGAAGACGGGGACGAGGTGGTTTTTAGTGGGATCTCTGGGATGGAGGAGCTCAACCACAGGGCTTCGTATCCAGTCACGGTCACGGGCTCTTGCTCCTTCACCATCCCGGAGGATACTCGGGGATTCAACAGGTATGTGTCCGGGGGATACTTCCACAAGAAGAGGCCTGTGAAGAAGATGAGCTTTCTTCCGATGGACAAGTCCATCAACTCGCCGGAGTTTTGCATCAGCGATCCGGCAAAGGCAGGCCGGACACCATGCCTCCACATTGCGTTCCAAGCCGCGGACGAGTACGAGAGGCAGCACGGGTTGTCTTCTACGGGAGCTGGCTCAACTCTCGAGGATGCTGATGCCGAGGAGGTGGTGAAGCTGGCTAGAGAAATGTGGCTTCGGGCTTCCCCCGGCGGCTCGCTGCAAGAGAATGGAGATTTTTCGTGCAAAACTCCCGACTTGGATCGTTCCAAGTCTGGTGTGACTTCCTCCTCGGCCACGGGAAAGAGAGATGCCGACAGCTCTAGTAGCGCGAACGAGGAAGCTTGCTCATCGGATTCAGGTGCAGGAAGAAGAGATGGGACGTCCGGGCTGGACGAGGAACTAGTGAAGCTGGTAGCACAGGGAGGTTCTGTGGAGATTTGTCCCATCGTGGCCATCACTGGAGGCATAGCTGCACAGGAAGCCATCAAGGTTTGGTTCCAGTTTCCGACAAAGTTGGTTGCTGATTTCCGTTCCTTTTTGCAGGCTTTGTCCAAGGTTTTTATGCCAGTGCATCAGTGGTTTTACTTTGATGCAACGGAGTGTTTGCCGCTTAAGTCTTCGTCTTTGGAAGAACGCACCCCGCTGGGATCACGGTATGATTCCCAGGCGGCGCTCTTTGGCCGAGAGTTTCAGCAAAAGCTTAGCTCTTCGCAGGTTTGCTGTATAGACCGTTTTGTCCTTTGCATTTGGCTGACATGCTCTGTCCTTGTGTTTTTTGTTTTTTCTGTTTCAGTGGCTGGTTGTGGGAGCTGGAGGAATAGGCTCCGAGGTTTTGAAAAATCTTGTTTTGATGGGTGTGGGTTGTGGAACTAGTGGGCGCATTGTTATGACGGACATGGATTCTGTGTCCAAGGCAAATCTAGTAGATCAAGCTTTGTACCATATAGACGACTTAGACAGACCCAAAACTCCGACAGCAGCAAGAGCTTTACGAAGGATAAATCCTGCTGCTCAGATTCACGCACTACAAGAAAAGTTTGATGCTTCATCAGAGAGCCTTTTTGACACTTCGTTCTTTGAGTCGATGACTGGTGAGCTAGTTATATACTTTGGTTTATCGTTTCTACTAACGTGAAAAGTCGGTGTCATGCAGGAGTGATATCTGCTGTGGACAATTCTACGTCGAGGCTGTACATTGACATGCGTTGCGTAAACTATAGAAGGCCTCTGATTGACGGGGGAAAGCATGGAGCCAAAGGTAGCGTTCAGGTAATACAGTCGAACAAACAGCTTAAGGCCTATTGTTATTTTACAGACACTGTTATGCGCAGGTCTTTGTGCCTTTCCAGTCGGAGATGTATGCGTCCACTCGAGATCCACCAGAGCACAGAGAGTTCCCAATCTGTACCTTGAAAAACTTCCCGTATGCACCTGAGCATACGCTTAAGTGGGCCGTGGAAACTTTTGAAGCGCTGTTCAAACAGCGGCCGGTGGATGTGAACTCATACCTTTCAAAGAGAGATTTTCAGGACTCTATGCGGAAATCACCTGCATCGACGAGGCTTCCCATCCTCGAAACTCTGAGGGACGCTCTCGTGCTACAAAGACCATTGAGGTACTCGCTTTCCGAGTTCTTCGTGCGCCATGGATTGACATGTTTGTTTGCAGCTTTGATGCTTGTGTGCAATGGGCTCGTCTTCAGTTTGAAGAGCTTTTCACCAACAATATCAAGCAGGTATTGTCCGTAAACTTCTTTGTTTTTCTTTCCTTTTAACTTGGAGACTTTGCATGCAGCTGCTGTATAACTTCCCGGCTGGAATGACAACTTCAGCGGGCACTCCTTTTTGGAGTGGCACGAAGCGAATCCCAACGCCCTTGGCTTTCCATCCTTCGGACCCCCTACACATGGATTTTATTATCGCGGCCGCGAATCTACAGGCCACCGTATATGGCCTGAAGGGTTGCCGTGATCATTCGCTCTTTGTGGATATCGTACAAAGAGTTGCTGTTCCGCACTTCCAGCCCAAGGTAAACCTCGCTTAATCTCCTGCTCTTTCTTGTGTATTCACATTTACACTTGAAACTATTAGGAAGGAATCAAAATTGCTGTTAGTGACAGTGAGGTTCGGAATCCTCAACGCAGGGGTCAAGATGACAGTGATGCTACCGCTGCTTGCGAAGCCATCCTTCAAGAGCTCCCAACGCCTCCTAGTCTTGTGGTAATCAAAACTTCTCTTTTGCGTCTGACACTCACTTGTTTTCTCTACAGGGTTATCGCCTCACACCGTTAGAGTTTGAGAAAGATGACGAACACAACTTCCATGCCGATTTCATTGCAGCTGCTGCAAATCTAAGAGCACACAACTACGGTATCCCGTTAAGTACCAAGTTACAGGTCGGTTTTCGTACATTTTTCTTCTTTGTTCATCAGAAAAGTATACTTTTTTTTGCAGGCGAGATTGATAGGGGGCGGCATTATCCCTGCAATAATCACGTCCACATCAGTTGTGGGTGGTTTGATCTGTCTCGAGCTCTACAAGCTCTTGCTGCAAAAGCCGCTGAGTGACTATAGGCACTCCTACTTCAACTTGGCAGTTCCACTCTTTTGCTTCGCTCAACCTATGAAAGCATTCGAGCATACGGTACTCTACGCATTTCCTAGCTAGCCAACTTGCGTGCTCACGACTTTGCTTACGTTTCCAGGTTGCACGATCGCAAGGTGGCCTACTCAACTGGACACTGTGGGACAAGTTCGAGATGGATTGCGTGGGGATGCCCCTGGAAAGCTTCCTGCTCAACTTCAAGCAACAGCAGGGCCTCGAAGTAAGCCACCACTGTTCCCTGCCGCCCGCTCTCGTCTCACGTTTGTCTTCTCTTTCGTGCGTTTCCAGATCACAATGGTTTCTTACGGCAAAAGCCTGCTCTACGCGGAGTTTCTGCCGCGGAAGAAGCTCCAGGACAGGTTTCCAGTGACGCTCTTGGATCTGGTGACAAGCGTCGGCAAGGTGGCCGTGCCACCCACGGAAACCAAGCTCGTCTTCTCAGTCTCTTGTACAGACGCCGACGGCAACGATGTCGAGGTGCCTGACGTTATAGTCAAAGTGCGATAGCTAGCGCTACGCCTCTAGAAAAACACTGTACAGCCCCTGTTCTTCGTGACTCTCTAGAATAAACATCCGATCGCAATCGCCCAGATCGATCGATCAGAGGAAAAAATTCTCGCAATCGCAGCGCTCACATGCCCACCAGAAAACCCAATACGATCAAGCAGAGGATCTGTTCATGCGAGCTCCATGTAAAAGAAGAAAGCGCAGAAAGAGGAAGAAGAAAGCGCCAAAAGAGCCCTAAAAGTGCCACTTGTGACGGGCGCAGCTCGCGCCACGTAGCGCCGGAATTCCGCGCTGGACAGCCACGCTGGCAGTAACGCGGTAACTTGGATAGCCACTTGATTGGCATCGCCAGGAACACCGTGATCAAATTGATCGCGATCGAGGGTTCTCGTCTTTGCTTGTGACCGCAAATTGGCCCTATTGTCGCCTTCCCTTGTTTGCCTCTCTCTCTCTCTCTCTCTCTCTCTCTCTCTCTCTCTCTCTCTCTCTCCCTGTTTTTATATCAGGTCTCTTGGACCTCTGGGTCGCCCTGAGGATAAATTCCCACAGAATTCCAGCTATCCCGGTATTGCTTCTCTTCCTCTCTCTCGCCCGCGATTGATCGTTTGAAATCGATCTTTCTTCCTTTGCAAGCTCTATAGCTCGTGCGCGGAAACGTTATCCCATCCCGCGCACGGATGTCGCTGGAGCTGTGCAGTAGCATGGGCCTCCTGGGATTCTTCCAGCAAGCCACCGATCACGATCCAGCCCCTGCCGCCGAAGATCGCCCACGCCCGAGAATGCCGGTTCTCACGCCGCCACTGCAGCTGGAGGCGTCGGATTCGTCGCCCGGCGGGGACGATGCCAAGTCGGCGACGTCGAGGATTGGCGGGATCGGGCGCTACCTGGATCTGTTCAAGGGCATGGGCGCCGACCTCTCGCGCTTCCAGGTGCCCGTCCACCTCAATTTCCCCAAGTCGCAGCTCCAGCTCTACGGCGAGATGGTCTACTGCTTCACCCAGGACATCCTCTCCCAATGCGCCGACGCCGCCACGCCCATGGATCGCTTCCTCCACGCCCTGCGATGGCACATCTCCGCCACTCGCCAGCCCCACTTTGGCAAGGCGCCGTACAACCCCATCCTGGGCGAGACACACCACGCCTCGGTGGGCGATCTCAATGTCCTCCTAGAACAGGTGAGAAGAAGAAGCGCGAATATCCTCTAATATGCTTCGTCCATTTTTTTAGGTCTCTCACCATCCGCCCGTGAGCGCGCTCTATGCCACGAACGAGAAGAAGGGATTCCAGCTCCGATTCTGGCACCACGCGTCTCCCAGGTTCTATGGTGCGATCGCGATCTCTCTTTGCGCGATTTGGATCCCGGATTTCTTATGCATTTTCTTGCTCGATCTTCCAGGCAGCGGCGTCGATATCACGATCCAAGGCCGCAGGCTCCTCAAGCTCGCGCGGCACGGCGAATCCTACGAGATGACCTCGCCCAAGCTGGGGTTCCGGTTCTTGCCCGTGCCCGGCACGGATTGGAGCGGCTCTACCACGGTGAGCTGCGCCGAGACGGGGCTCAAGGCCACGGTCGTGTACAAGAACAAGGGATTCTTTGGATTACACGGCTCGAGCAGGAGGATCGGTGGCAAGGTCTGGGACACCAACACCGGGAACACGCTCTATGAAATCCATGGCAATTGGGACCAGTGAGTAGAAAATCACTCGCATTCTTCTCTTCTTTGTTCTTACTCAAGCTGTTCCTCCTCTCGTCGCGAATTCCATTCTTCTCTTCTTTCTTACTTCCTCTCGCGAATTCCATTCTTCTTTTCTTTCCTCGATTCTTTCTCACGCCATTCTTCCTCTCGCGAATTCCAGGTTTGTTTATCTCAAGGAGAGCTCCAGTGGCACGACGAGCACACTGTATGATGCGAGGGCGGTGGTCGGGAAGCTCCGGCCTCCACAAGTGAAGAACCTCAACGTAAGAAACTCTTCCTCTTCTTCTTCCTCTAGCCATAGCTTGCTCTAACGCAAAGTTGGCCACAGGCAATATCACCCATGGAGTCGACGCTCGTGTGGAGCGGTGTGTCCGAGGGGATCTTGACGAGAGAAGTGGACAAGGCTCGGGCGGCCAAGCTTTGCGTGGAGGAATCGCAGCGAGCGCTCCGCAAGGAGAGGCAGGCCTTGGGGATCAAGTGGAGCCCAAAGTTCTTTACGCTGTCCGCCGAGACTGGCGATTGGGAGTGGCAGCATCCGGAGCAGCCTGTTCCTCCAGCTCCACTCGTAGTTCCTCTTCCTTGAGCTTCTCGCCAGCCGAGCTGTGGAAACTCGCCCTTGAGCTTCTCGCCGGCCAAGCACTCTCTTTTCGTCGCCCTTGAGCTTTCTCACTATCTCTTTTCGTGTGGATAAACTAGGCCAGAAAACCAAGCTCGCGGAAAGATCTGGAAAAGCCAGGGATGATCTTTGTGAGTTCCAAGCTTTCATCAAGAACAAAAGAGTTTTCTTCCATCTCCCACCTTGTATACAAGACTCGCACCTTGTTCATACAGAGACACGATCTTCTACTTTCTAAGATGCGTGGTATGCAACACGTTCCCGAATGCGTCGTAGAACTCTAGCAGAAACGAGCTGCGCCCCACGGAAGCCGAGACGAAGCCTTGGCCATCGTAGGCGAAGTGCAGGCCGTTCGCAACTGTGGCGGGGCGGATTCCTTGCCAGGATTTGGAGCCCGCGCCGCTGGTGATGAAGGTGATCTTGCTGCAAAGACAAGCCATACCGAACATGAATGATCCGCGGGAATGGAAAGATCATATGCGTACCTGTCCGAGTGTTTTATGTGCTCGAGACAATGGTCGTGGCCATTTATGTATGCGTCAACGTCGTGAGCCTGGAGAAGGAAGTCCTGAGTAAGCAAGAGTCAAGGAAATGGAGAAATTGTTTACCTCCAATACGGGTAGAATCTGGTCGAGGAGTTCTACGGAGTCGCCGTGGCGTCCAAAGCTGTGCATCGTGTGGTGGCCAACAACGATCTTCCATGTTGCTCGAGACGACGCCAGCAATCTGTCGAGCCGCTGGAAGAAGCAACCCGGAAGACAGTTAGAAAAGAAATCGAGAGGAGAAGCTACTGGACGAGTTCCTATGCTACGTGAAAGCTGCGTCGCTTGCCTCGACTTGTGAGCGGAGCTGTTCTTGGCGTGGTGCCAATCCTCGCCAATCGAATGTTTGAGTTGCATTTGGCATCCAATACTCGTCAATGAAGGGGGTCGTGTCAATGAAGAACAAGTCCACGGAGGACTCACAGGCTCCTGCCACAAGCGACCAAAAGGTGTTTAAAGCTTTTTGTCAGGTGTTCTTAACAAAGAAAAGCAAAGTTTGACGATTACCTGTGTTGAGACTTCCACACAGTGATCTTCGCAGCTCAAACTCTCGCCTGCAATACCAACGCGAATCACGCTGTGTCATGGCCGGGTCAAGCTGCGCCAGAGCGTCTCCCATATAATCGTGGTTGCCAAGAACTGCCGAGGAAAGACGAAACATAAGAAATTTGTTCCAAGTTCTAGAAGAGATGGAAAAGTCTTACTTGTGTACCACGGCTTTTGTAGGCTGGGAGCAGTATAAATCCTGCTGAATGAGGTCGTGAACTTTGGATCCTTAACACCGGTTAGTCCGGTGTTATAGAAGTTGTCACCGACCGAGATAACAAAATCGATATCGAGGAGCTCGCCAACTCGGCCCATCTGAGAAACCACAAGAAACAAATCAGTACACTGCAAGAACAATCCTTGCAAAGCTAGAAAACTGAAAAGAAGAACAAGAGAAAGAAGAACAAAAGAGGGAGAAAAAAAAACGGTACCTGACTAGCAACAAGAGACTGGTTGTAGAACCCATTTCTTCCCCAATCACCGATCACCAAGAAATTTAAGGGGAACTCCTCTTGCCTGGTGATGATCCCTCCTCCAGCCCTGGAGTAAAGCAAGCCCAGACCTAGAACCGAGACGAGCAGCAGCAGCGACACCACGATCCAGAATCTCCTGGAATCATTAGCTCGCAGCTCCTCCTAGTAAATCAAAATCCACACCCACATTAGAATGCCGCATGCCCGATCGCATCTATCGCGCTACTTACCCTCGTCTTGGAGACAATGAGCGCCTCCTCCTCGTCGCTAGCGTGGCGATAGTCATCGCCGGCTCCCATTTTGCTCGAAATATCGCCCGCGACGCGATCAATCGATCGTTGAGCTGCGCGCGCGGCACCAGCCACACCTTAGCTAAGCCGATCGATCGATCGATGGATAGAAGGCGCGCTTGACAAGAACCCTCGCGATCAAACCGCGGCTACTTGGAAATGAGGTACACGACCGTACCACCATTGGAGATGGAAGTCCCACACGGTTATATAGTGACCAAATTTTCTGTTGCCTGTGTCTAGGTATATGCCGATTCGAATATCCTCGCGGGCATATCCACTGACACCAGCCGTCGGATGGCCGCCAGAACGGACGGCTTGTATCTTGCTTCACATTCACTGGCTGGCGGAGCTTCCAACAATGAATGGAAAGAATGGAATGAATTTAAAGGGAGACGAGCGAGCGAACGATCGAATGAATCTGGTTGAAAAATTCGTAACTTGCGAGCGATGGCGCTGGCGTTTTCTTTTTTCTAGAGATCGATTGGAATTCGCAAGCCGTCGTAGGCCAGGCGGACGTCTATTCCCTCGCTGAAATCCATCACCCCAAACGGTTGCTTGTATCACGCGAAGAAAACGAATGCCAAAGAAGAAAACGCGCTTACGTCTTGGACCAGTTTGCGAGGAACTCGTTGTCGAGCTCATGGTCGAATTCGTGAGTCATGCCTACAAACAAGGCGCGCTTGGGGCGGATTCGCTTCACTGCCTCCAGGCTCTGCGAGAATGCATGAATTCTTAGCAAGCGTACAAATCCAAAGCTTGTGTGAGAAAAACTGCTACTGCTACTGTGAAGTTACCTGAGGAAAGCAAAAGTGTGTGTTGTGCTTGTCCTTCTGCGGTATCGATCGAAGCATTAAAAAACGCTCCGGCAAGGAAAAGATCAAAACTTTACCTTGTACAAGGTGTCGAGGAAAAGCAGATCAACTTGTCCTCCACTTTCTTGCGAGATCACTACAGCATAGACAAATTATCTGAGTGGAAAGAGCACTAGAATATTATCATCTAGCTTACGCTGCTCGGTCTCGGGTAGAATCCTCGATACATCTGAGATGTAAGCCACTCTGGACTTCCGTCCAAAGAGGAATCCAAGGCAGAGATAGTCTTCTCCATGCATTACCTGTTAGAAGAGAGAAACATAAGCTAGAACACTGGCAGCGCGAGAGAACTTAACTGGTAGCGGAGTGAACTCGAGGCCCTCCACATCAAACGGCGCATCGCAGGAAGTTTGGACGATCTTGTAGTTCAGCTGCGTCACTCGCCGGATCTCCTGCCCCTCCTTGACACCTTTCTGGACAAGGTATGGGAACTTCTCAGCTACACTGCGCCAAGGATGTTAGACTATTCGCGACGAAACTTACGTTACCTGTCCATGGTTTCCTGAGACAAGAAACAAGACAATGGCTTGATCCGGTTCAAGGAATCATACGGTTGCACGCCACGGATCTCGTCAAGGCCTAGCATTGCATCAGCATGCTCATGTGTCAAAAGGATCTAGCAAACGAGAAATAAAAACTGGAGAAGGAGCAAAGAAGAAAAGAACGCGAGAACTCACAGCATCGAGCCTGGGAACTTTGTTCGGCAAATACCAGCGAAGAACTTGCTCCTTGAAATGCTTGCCAGCGTCAATCTGGATGAATCGCAGCTCCCCATCACCATGCAAGAATTTGATGAGCAAGGAAGGATTGGATCTGATCGACCAAGTGAATGTTTCTAGCCAAAAAACGACAAAAAAAGAAAAACTAGAAGAACAACGAACACACCTATAGTTTTTGTTGATCTGTGGAGGCAAGGCAATGGCCTTGTGGCACACGGCGCACGGCGGATCGCTGGGCCGCAGCAAGCACACCGGGCTTGGAACTCCCGTGGAAGATCCAGATCCTAAAACTATGAGCTCGGAGCCATCGCGCGCCACCGCTCCTCCATTCGCCATCGCCTCCATCGAAGAATCTTGGTCTTTAGGGCTTCCAAGAAAATGGGAGTAGAACTTTACCATGCCTGGCATTCATGAGCTCCAGTTTCGATCGCAATGCCTGCCTCGATCGCATCTCGTCGTGCCGGACCTTGTCCGCGGCAAAGCAGATCCACGCGCAGGTTCTCGCGACGCATCGCACGCTCAGATCGGACACCTATGTGGCGAATCTTCTGCTGCAAATGTATGGAAAATGCGGGAGCGTGGACGATGCCGCCCGCGTGTTTGGGTGGATCAGCAACAGGGATAGCTTCTCTTGGGTGCTCATGCTCTCGGCATTTGCCCAGAATGGGCATCTGGAGAGCGCCAAGCGTTTCTTTGATGCTATGCCGTTATGGACGCTCGCGCCCTGGAATGCGATGCTCTCCGCGTATGCCAGGAATGGATTCATCCAGAGCGCGAAGGGCATCTTTGACCAGATGCTGGAGAGGAATCTCATATCGTGGAACGCACTCCTCTCGGCATTTGCCCTTGCGGGGCAGCTTGGGAGGGCTCAAGAGATCTTCGACGCTATGATCGAGTGGAATGTGGTGTCGTTAAATGCCATGCTGGGAATCTACTCTCGCAATAGTCAGCTGGCTCGCGCGAAATCACTGTTTGATAAGATGCCGGAGAGGGACGTGATTTCATGGACGACCTTGATTGCGGCAAATGCCCGGCATGGACACACCGAAGCAGCCAGAGCTCTGTTTGATGCCATGCCGAGAAGGGACCAGTTCTCGTGGAACTCAATGCTTTCGGGCTACATCGCAAATCATAACCTTGGCAAAGCTAAAATCTTTTTTGATCATATGCCCGAGTGGAGCCTTGTGTCGTGGAACACTCTAATCTCCGGGTATGCCCAGTCGGGGCATCCAGAAGAGGCACGAAGCGTGTTTCTGGAAATGCGCGAGCGGGATCTAGTCTCTTGGAACGCTCTTCTAGACGCTTATGCACTGCATCGAAAGGTGGAAGAAGCAAGATTTGTTTTTGATACAATCCCGGAGAGAAATCTCGTTTCTTGGACGCTAATGATCAATGCATATGCCGTGGAAGGGCATCTGGAGGAGTCTAAGTATTTGTTCCAGAAGATGCCCCTGCGCGATGTGGCAGCGTGGAACGCGATGCTGTCAGCTTACGCGAGAAGGGGGCTTCTAAACCACGCTAGAGCTGTGCTTGCCGCGATGCCTGAGCGTGATACAATCTCCTGGAATGCAATGCTCAACGCGTACACAAGCAATTGCCAGTACTTGCAGAGCCTGGAGCTCCTCAAAGTCATGGATTTGGAGGCAATCCAATGTGATGAGACCTCTTTTCTAAGCATTCTTCACGGATGTAGTCACGCTGGAGATTTGCGCTCGGGATGGGCATGTTTTTGCTCCATGGGAATGGATCGTGCCATGAATCCAACCAAGGAAATCTTCTGCTGCATGACTGATCTCCTGGGTCGTGTTGGGCATCTAGATAGTGCCGCTGACCTTGTGACTAGCATGCCGTATGTCCCCGGGCTGATTGATTGGCAGTCGCTCCTGGTTCGCAAGGGCAGATTCTTGAAGGAGGCATTGGACATTGATTCAACGAGTGGAGCGCCATATATTCTTGTTTCCAACATGTGCACAAGTGAAGAACCCTCTTGATTAAACATGACCATGCTATGCTTCGCTATGAACAGGATGAATGCTGGAAGATGAGGTGGTGGGAAGAGAATGAAAAATGAATTGTTCTTATTTTTTAAACTTCAATCTAACAACTGAATCTGTGGAAGGAAGGATGATCCAGAAGTCGATGGATAGCTTTCTGCATCCCCCCACAACGATGAGGAGGTTGATTATAGTCAAGGCGCCTGTTGAGGCCCTGCAAAAGGGGGATGTGCTTGATCTGGGGCAGCAGCCCATGGGAATCGCTGCCTTGAAGCTGCCTTTGAGTTGTGACTATGCTACTTTGTCTTCTTCTTGGGTGGTAAGGAGGAGCAAGTCAAGGTGTATCAAGGATTGCAGGAGCAAAGGGTATGCTATTGTCAAGGATGATGAGGTGTGGGAGAGGGTCAAGAATTACTTGTCAAGCTTAAGAGAGTGATGCCAAGGTTGTGGTTAGTAGCTAGTAATCAATGGGAATCAAACCATCCCATTTAATCTTGTGTTTATAAATTATAAATATTCAGTTGACTAATTTTTAATAGATACACTAAAAGTTATAACACTACCATCAAACAAACTAAACATTGCTGGATGCAACAGACAATATTTCATTGATTCTTATTGACTTTTGCCTCTTTTCTGTGATTTTTCACTAATCTTTGCATTCCTTCTGCGATTTCCAAGCTCACAATAAGATCCAATTCAAAAGGCTGACTAACAAGAGCAAGCAAATTAAATTAAAAAATTAAGAATTTTATATGGCTTTGGTTGGCTTGAAAAAAGCAAAACCTGGAATCCTCTCAAACCGAGCAAAACCCAGGAATATTCTTTAAGCCCTATCGCAAGCGCAATGGTGGCGGCGGCCGAATGGTGGGGGGGTATTGTTGGAAAAACGGCAGATTGGTATGCGGCAGGCGCGGTAATCGAGCTCCCAAAGGCATGTGTCAGTTTGGCAGCCATGTCTTCTCATATCTTGTTCGTAAGAGATGTTTTCGATGCGCTCTACAAAGAGATTGTATCAGAGCTTGTTACACGCGAGTTCGCCCTGTGCCATTTGAATGGCAATTCCGGCGTGGGCAAGTCGGCGTTTCTCTGGTACTTCATCATCCGGACCGGGATTGACAATCCAGAGTCCATACTTCTCTATGAGACTGGTGTCTGGGTGTGGGAGTTTCGTGGCAGCGGGGATCTTCGGGTGGTGCCAAAGAAGAAGTATCCGTTCGACGTTATCCAATCGCCGGCAGTTACCTTCCATCTGATCGACCAAAGGGTCTATCCTGACCGACCCATTGGCAACCGAGCGCTTGTGGCGGCATCGCCAGACGACACGAATACGAAGGATATCAGGAAAGTTCGCCTGACCTATACGTTCTATCTGCCACCATGGGACAGGGGGGAGTTTGGTTTGCTTCTCGCTGTGTGGAACTCGGCGGCGAACAAGATGACGGGTAACGACGCAAACGATGTAAGGTTGAAGGTCAAAGCTGCTGATTTAGTGTTCGCCTGGTACGGTGGCATCCCGCGGCATGTTTGGGATCAAGAGGTGCGAAATCTAACGGAGAAATACTTCCATTCGGACGTGATGAAGTGCCTGGCGAATACCAAACTCAAGAATTTATCGTTGATCCTACAGAGCTCTCACAATGCCAAGGACATATCTTGGCGCTTGTTCCACTTCAATGTCACGCCTGGCACCGGTTTCAGAGAGTTTCAGTACACGTTTTGCTCGGAGAAGGTGGCCAATCTCTACGCTGGCTACCTGTGTAGAACCGACGTGGACAAGATCCGCAGCTTTCTTGAGGCTTCTCAGCCGTTCAGCGAGTACTCAGCCCTGAGAGGCTTCGTTTTCGAGCAATATGTCATCGGGCAGGCGTTGTCACAACAAATTATGGTGATGCCGATGGTGCTTTTTTACCATTTGAATGTTTTATTTTGCATGCTATAGGTTGACACTGCTCACTGCCAACGTTGTTCCCAAACCGAGGATCCAAGCGCGGATGTTACGGTTTCGTGGATCCAGTGCGGGACCTGCCTGCGCTGGTACCATACCAGATGTGTCGACGTGCAATTCAAGTTCCAGTTTAAATACGAGTGTGCAAATCGCCAAGGTGAGCCAAAGGCTCTGGTAGCATCTCCTTCCGGCCCTGGTCTTGTTCTACGATATTACGAAGGTGATCTGGAAGACACTTTGGTCGCAGCTGGTTAGTATCTGATTTATTTATTTATTGATTTCCTCCTTTCTACCCTGCAGGTGAGGATGCGATTAAGTATATGTGGAGGCCACTTCGAAAGAACAATGCGGTGTTTGATTTTGTGCTGTTACCACGCACGCTGGGACAGGTTACCGTTGCTTGTACTGACCACAAGCCCGTTCTCGAGGCTACGATCAAGGCGCAGCAGGCTCTGAAAGCCTGGAGAGAGCTGTTTTATAACAGCGGCCACCCCGACAACGATGAAACTCTGCTGGTTTTCTTTTTACCCCCGGATTCTTATCGCGGCTTCAAGTTCCAGAAGTACCGATCATCTAGAAAGGTTTCTCAGAAAGCTATCAGAGGTGAGTGATTTCATATGAGCAAGATATGTGAAGTTACAGTTTCTTTCTTTACCAGGGATTGTGCAGTGTAAGGTGGCCGTACCGGTGTCTGGAAGTCCTTATGTAGAAGAGATGAGCCACGAGATGGATGTGGTTTCTCTAGATGTGAACTTGCCAGGGACTTGGGAGGAGGCTCTCGGCTGCATAGAGTCCGAGGAAGCTTTAGAAGATCCACCGGAGAAGTCACTTGTCCAAGAAAAGCTCCAATATTGGAAGAGGGACTTGGTGTGTGATAGAAGCGAGCTGGACGACTTGGAAAAGATCCGTGACATTGCAGATGGTAGGGTGAAGCGCAAACGTCTTCAATCATTGTGCAAGATGTACAAGATCAGAGCCAATGCCACCAACGAGGAGATGTTGTTTGATCTGGCTGATCTTCGAAGTAAAAGTAGAAAAACTGCTTAGGCAAAGCTCTTGTTCTATATTTGTTTCCTCTCTATGAACTATGGTTGCATATGCTTAACTTTGATAAATTAGTCTAGCAATCCCTAAGAAATAATGGTTGAGAACAATGGCGGTCAAGAAAATTGGCTAAGACTGGCCAACACCATATTTTATCAACAAGGCCTAGCTGAAGATGATCATGATTCGGATTTTTCCATTGTACACATCACAAATTGACAGTGTTCAGGTTTCGTTTAGAACTGGGAGTCTGGACCGCTGGAACTTCGCCACCAGGTAGGAATCGCTTGGAGCCACTCCTCAAAAACCGAAAACGAAAGAAATAAAAAGGAAAGAAAGACAAAGCTCGTACCGACGCAAAGTGTTTGTTCTCCACGTGCTGCCATTAAATCAAGTAAAAAAACCCGAGGAATCCAAGAATTATATAAAAAATATATAGCAATGCGTACCTGATCGCTCTCATCCAGGCTGAGGATGCATGCCGTCATGGAACCGTTTAAAATTGCTACGCACAGGCAGCTGAGCATTCTTCATCCAATCTACCTCCTGCTGATTCCGCACTTCAATTTCAAAGCTCGCCAAGCACTGATCAATGCATCAGGAATCATCACGACGGGAAAGTACTCCATAGAACTGAGTGCTGTCATCTATGGATCGCTGTGGAGATTCGACCAAGAGGGACTTCCAGTTGACTTGATCGCCAGGAAAGGGGATTTCTAGCTTGAAACTCTTATGCAGTGGATGGACTGAACATCTGGAGTGCATTGAAGCAATGGGTGACAGACTACGCAGACACTTTCTACATGCTTCAGTCCGGGATGGCACTGAACTCCAGGCATGGTGGCAAGAAATCGTGAGTGTTGGTCACGCAGACAAGAAAGTTGGATGGACAGACATGAAAACAAAAGCAAACTTGATCGAGGCCCTCACCACCATGATTTGGATCCCATCGTACCACCATAACTTTGGCCAGTGCGCATACGCTAGATTCCCAGTGAACAGGCCGACCATTGCTCACAAGCTCAATCCTGACGAAGACACAGAAGAATATAAACAGCTGCAAAGAAATGGGGAGAAATTCTACCTCTCATCCTTCTCCGCCAAAGCCGAAGCTGATGACAACCATTGAGATCCTCTCCGCGCACTCATCCGACGCAGAGTACCTGGCATGCAGCCGGAGCACTGGACGAGCGACAAACGGGTGCTGGATGCATTCGCGCCATAGTGGAGTCGGAGGCACAAGTGATGGCCAGGAACGCGGAAAACCTCCACGGCCTTGTCTACATACTCCTCGCCGGGCATCACTGGCCAAGGCGTCCCCAACAGATCCTGGTCAGTCTCGGATGGAGCTTGTTACTGGCAACTTATCTATAATAATATAGATCCAGCCAATGCCAGCCGTCGGATGGAGGGGTAATTGTCATTTCTTTAACTATGTTTTACTGAAATATTTTAATAAAATTTTATTGTCTCGCACAGTGTTGTGAGAGAGAAAAGAAATTTGAAACATGTGATATGCATGTTTGGGCAAGAATCAAAATGGCATTTCTAGCTCCCTTAATTCCATTCTTACTAAACAATGCGTCAATTGTGATGAGATAATATATAAATCAAAAACACTTTACCAACTAAACACTTTATGCTGAGCAAATTTTCTATGATTTTAGAATTACACTCCAAACTCTCTCTCTTACACACACACACACACACGCCAAGAACTCACAGATGAAGGGTTAATCGTCGTTGCAATACAGCCTGGATGCTGCTTGAACCCTTGCTTGGCCAGCAATTCACATACCACAAGCACCAGATCCTTCACTCTCCGCCATGCAGCTCCAAGACCACAAACTGGTCACTATCATCAAAGCCGCTGCCACATGAAACGAGGCATAGAGTTCCATGCACTGGTTTTGCAAACTCCACTATCCTACTATAATATGGAACGTGTTCAGAGGGCTCCTCCAATAAAACTTACAGGACTTTTTGAACAAATCAAAATGGTTTGCCAAACCAAGGCACCACAGTGGCCATCCTGACAAGACCACCTTCGTGCATGAATTATATCATGGTTTAAGGGCATATGGATTGTGATGTGAGGGTGTTGATTGAGAACTATAACACCCAGCCTTGACACGTAGAATTCCAGGTGAGATATTTGTTCTGCAACTATAACACTGAGCCTTGACTCATATAAGTCTAGGTGCAATGTTCGAATTTTTTTTATCACAGTCTTGCCAGCAACTAGTTTTTCCCAGTGGGCAGGATTGTCAAAGTTGAAAAGCACCCAATGCAGATTCTTTTTTGTTGAAGAAATTGACATTGGTGAAGACACCATAAGTCCTTTGTGAAACAAATAAATTGCACCGAGAAGAACCATGGAAACTATAGCTGAGTAGGAACAACAAAATGATGAGTGGATAAAAGCTGAAGGAAATGAGTAAGTGTAAAAAATACTCTTTTTCCTGCAGTGGGTTTAATAGATTTTGGATGAGAAATCAATCTTCATCAAGCTTACCGTACTTGACATTATGAGCAGCTCTGTGTATCAGCTTATCATCTGAATTTAATTTGCAAGAAAACCAATTTTTTGTCTCATAATCTTTACATTTCATCCTACACATACACTCCAAATTGCTTCAAGAATTTATATTCACTTTTAATGTGTTACATGCTTAGCTTAGAAAACATTAATAGTAAAAAACTATACATTTTAAGAAAATATTTATATATAAACTAAATTTAGAAGTGATGCTCTTGTATTAAAATATAGATATTACTTATCACAAAAACTTTAGGAGAAAAATTAAATAACGCAATTTGAGAAAGAATAAATTAAAGTTTTTAGAAAGGTCTAAACAAGTTCAAATGAGAGTTGAAAGGTGGCCCACAGCACTGTAGATTGTGATGCCACCCAGATCACCACTCTTAAAAATGACTTTTTAACCACGAGCGCGAATTCCAGTGTTCAAACTGGCGAGAGGAGAGGACGACAAGCAGGCAGGCAAGCAAGCAAGCAAGCAAGCGCCATAAACGCACATGGACTCACTGTTGCCTTAGCCGCTTCCACCACCTATAGGCTGGGAACTGGAGTGGAGATCCTGGAAGAGACATGGATAGACTTGGACTGCAGCACCACTGCCCTGCCTCCCTGCTGCTCTTGTTGCTGACCAAACCGCCCCCAACTTCCACAGCTTCTTAAAGAGGTGAAGGGGGGACACACAAAACACCAGATGCCTGCGCCAAAAACACGCCCACAAACACGCACATGAATGAATGAATGAATGAGTGGATCTTGATCGCAGGACCAGGATCGCCTCCAGCACCAGCCATAGCAATCAATCGAACGAGACACCAGCGAAGAAGCAAATTTAAAAACTCTGGCTGCAAGTTCGTGCCTTGGGTCGTGCCGCCAGCAGCAAATTTATTTGTCAAGGACACCAAGAAAGCCAGCAGAACAGCGAGGCACACCATCCTACCGGCCAGCGATCACACGCGCACTCTCGCGCTCTTGGCCCGCAGCGAAGCAGCCAGCCAGTCACGAATTCAATGTGCCTCCAACCGAATCTTCCAAGCTTTGGGCAATGACGCTGTTGCTTGGCGTGGCAGCGAACGGGAAGCACGAAGAGAAGAAAAGTTATAATCTGTCCATTATCATTCAACCAAAGAATTCTCTAAGTAAGACATTCACACAACCAGCTTGATCCCTGCTGTACATAAGAGTACCAGTCTCAAACGCTTTTGAAGAAGGAAGGAAGGAGGATCGAGAAGAGATGATGAGAAGAGAAAGAAGAGTGAGAGAGTGAGAAAGGAGAGAAGAAAGCCCCAAAAACTCCCGCAAGATCCGATCTGTACGCTGGTAAACTAAAATCGTCCGCCCGCCCTCGAGTGTTATCGCTGTTCCGATTGCTGTTGCCACTCACGCAGCCTTGACAATGTGCCTGTAGACCACCGATTTCTTCTTCTTGGACAAGGAGTTGTCGATGGAGAGGACCACCTTGCCGGGCTCCGACGCCTTGAACGAGTTCCGGATGGGCTCCTCTAATTGCGCCGAGATCTTCTTCGTCTTCTCGATGATCGTCGTGTAGCCGCCCTCCTGATCCGGTTGGAACTCGGCGCCATAGCTCACCTCGCTCCCCACCACCACCAAGTCCCAAGTGATGCTTGATCCGCCCTGTTAGAAAAACAAAGGGTGAGATTTTTCAAATCCGGACGAATATTCCAAACCCCGCAGGTGAATATTCGCGCTGGGGGAATATTCCACGCATATGCGGTGAACCGTGGTACTCACCGTGGTTACTGCCAGCTCGACCGTCTTCTTCTCCCCGGCTTTGATTGGTAGCTCCGTGACAGGTGCGTCGGCGCCCGAGAACTCGTCGTCCCCGGCCCTGCCCAATCCACCGTACTGGATGGGGACCTTCTCCGGCGAGATCAGCCTGGATTCCAATCCAGAAATTCCAGATCAATCCCGGAGAACTCGCATCGAGTGAGAGAGAGGAACTTACTTGAACAATGCCTCGGTCGATTTGCCCAGCCGCGTGACCACGAATTTGTTCTTCTGGTGCTGCGTGAGGAAGGGGCTGAGCAGCGAGAAGACGGCGCTGTAGTACCATGGAACATTGATGAACACCTGCGAGATCGATCGATCGATCGATCGGCCAAATTGAGTGAGCAAACAGAGATCTTGCGAGGAAGAGGATGATACTCACATTCTTGATGACCAGCTCGGGGTAATTGTCCTGGAGGAGGCTGATCGCCTTGAGAAGAACACTGCGCACCTTCTTAGCCGGCCATGGCGCGTTCTTGAGATCGATCACCTGGAGCAGCGCATTGGGCGTGCTCGGCTCCAGCTTGAGCATCTTGACGCCCTTCTCCTGGAGCTGGACCCTCCAGCGCAGGAACCTGGCGGCGTCGTCGCCAAACACCTTGGAGTAGAGATCCTTGTCCTGGAGGACGCCAAACACGTTGTAGCACACCGGGTGCCCCTCCTTGTCCTCGCCAAACATGAATGCCATGCCATCGAAGTCGGCGCCCAGCTCCTCGTCCAGGATCTCGTCCGCCTTGAAGCTCTTGCGCCACAGCACGCAGTTCTTGAGCATCGCCAGCGCCTGCGAGACCTTGAAGTCGCGCGCCTTGAGGAACTTGCCCAGGATCACGTCCGTGCGCTCGTCGCCCTCGGTGTGGAGCAGCGGGATCCCCCACAGGAACACGTCCTCGGGCGGCGTCTCCGGCTCCTCCGCCGCCTTGGGCTCCTCCTCGATCTTCTCCTCCGCCGCTGGTGGTGCCGCCACTGGCTCTACCGCCGGCTCTACCGCTTTCTCGCTCGATTCCACCGCCGCTGGCGCTGGCGCAGGCTCCTCGGGAGCTTTCTCTTCCGCGGCTTCCTCATCCAGCTTCTTCGTCTCCGCCACCTCCGTGGTGGCGGCGGCGGCGGCGTCCTTGGGCTCCTCCTCCTTGGCAACTCCTTCCTTGGGCTCCTCCTCCTTGGCGGGCTCTTCCTTGGGCGGTGGTGGCGGAGGAGGCGGCACGAAAGCGTTGGCCTTGATCGCCTCGGCCACCTTGAGCTTGAATTCCTCGAGAGCTTTCTTCTCCAGCTCCTCCTTGGTGGGCTTGGGCGGCTTGGGTGGCGCTGCCGGCTTGGCCGCCGCTACATCGCCGCCCTCCTCCTTGGCTGGAGCCTCCTCTCCTCCTTCCTTGGCTGGAGCTTCCTCTCCCTCCTTGGCCACCGCCTCCCCTGCTGGCGCTGGAGGAGCTGGAGCCGGAGCTTCCGGAGGAGACGATTCCTTCACAGGCTCCTCGGCAGGAGCGACAGGCTCTGGCGATTTAGTGACCTCTGTTACGTCCTCTGCCGCCATCTATGATTGACTATATTCCCTCCCCACACACTCTCTCACACTCTCCACGCTCTCACAAACTCACACTACACTGCAAATTAAGCTCCCAATTGAGAGGGTTGAGGAGAAGAAATCCCCACTCTCGCCCTTGATCCCCGATCGATCGAATCCAAAATCTCTTGGAGGAGTTTCGTCGTCGGCTATTCCTCGGCGCTGTCCCTGTTCTTCAATGCTGCAACCCCTTGTTCATTCATTTTCATAGCCAATGCAGCCTCCAAATTTACGGCGGCGTTATTTACCTCGGATCCTCCACAGCGCCTGTCTGTTATTTTATTCCACTTTTTACCCATCCTCTCCACTCCTTGGCCTGTCTGTTTTTACCATTCCGCCCGTTCTTTTCTTCTTGGCAAGGGTGGCATGAGGTGGCCAACGGGCCCCGCCGCCAATGCCAGCCAATGGCGTGCATGCGCATGGCCATGGCCATGGCCATGCCACCCACGCACATGGTGGGGGAGAATGGAATGACCCGCCCCGCATGACGCATGTCGCGTGTGCGGCCACATGGCGTCCAGCCATACGTGGGACCCAAGCACCTTTGCCGGCCGTACCCATGACCCCCCACCCATGTGTATGCCCATCTGGCATCAAGCGCATATTCTATTATCTTATGATTCACGTCCGGAGAATATGCGCCGGATTAGGGCTGGCATCCACATTACGCGGCCCATGGATATGGCTGGCCTTGGTAAGCAATGGGACAAAGACAAGCCAGCTAAACACGCATGCCGACAAGGCTGCCAGCTTGTGGCAAGGGAAAGGTATCGCGACATTTGGTGGTTGGAAAAATTCTCTTCTCATCCATCCCCTCCCCATTGTGGGGATGATCGCCGCCCTTCGTCAGCCCCAAAGGCCTGGACAAATCCTCCTTTGTCTCCTGGCATGGATGGATCGCAGCAGCGTTGTGACAAGGAATTAGGGTTTTGGAACATTCCGTCATCGTGGAGCCCTAGCTCTAGGGACCACTTTCGTGGCGGGAGGAGTTTGATCTTTTGGATTGGAGCGTTGAAACTACAAGGGCCCTTGCTAGATCCCCTAGATAAAGAAATCGCTTGGAAGAGATCCGGGGGTCAGGATCTTGCAAGGAAAAATGTGGGCGCGTGGAGATTCGAGCTCAATGGGTGGATTTTGGAGGAGCAGGGATTTTTTCCACTGGCTCCTAGTTGAGCGTTTGCTACTCTATCCAGATCTTCCAAAGGGTTTTACTTGTGATTATAGAATCGAGAATCGAAAGAGACAGCGGCAATCCACTTGTGATCCGAAAAGAACGAAGATTTTCTATGATTTCACTTTAATTCTAAACTGTGCGCATGCCCTAAAAAACTTGAGGTAGCCGTTAGTTGGAAAAAAGAAATATCTAGAGAGAATGTGACTGACGTGGCGGTATCCGAGCCGTCGGCCTAGAAAGATCCGTTAGCTAGACAGATGCCTAACGGCTTTCTATGTACGGTGCTGGGGTGTACGAGCTCTGTCAGTGGAACCGAGGTCCCCTCGGGCTAGGGCTAACCACGGAGCAGTGGCGCGCGGCGGCTAGGGAAAGCGCGCTCGATCTCCAACGCGATCTTGCGGTAAGGCGGCTCCTAGAATCCGGGAATGCGGAGGCGGCGGCGATAGAACAAGCCGCCTATCGCCGCCGCGCGGATTGGCCAGGTTTACGCTGCGGCCCAGCGATGTTCGCCGCGATGCTCGACTCGGAGGAGGATGGATGGTGGGAGGCGGTGAATCCCAGCTCGGACAGCGAAGGAGAGGGCTCTCCAGGGTTTTGCGGTACGGATTGCTTCGACCAGCTGCCCGACTCGCTCCTCGTGCTGATCCTCAACAAGGTGGGCGATATCAAGGTGCTGGGGAGGTGCTGCGCCGTTTCCAAGCGATTCCAGGCGCTGGCCGCCCACGTCGAGGACGTGACCGTCAAGGTCGACTGCGTGATCTCGGGCGAGGACTGCAACTTGAGCGGCAAGAGCAAAGGCTTCCTGGGCCAGCTGATGCGATTGGTCTTCGGGAGCTTCGTGAGGCCGCTCCAGCTCCTCCAGCACTTCCTGGGGCCGAGGAAGAGCGCCGTCCTGGCCGAGGTCTCGCACCATTCCCCCAGCGAGGTGCTCAAGAGCTTCAAGGTGATCCGCCACTTGAGGATCGAGCTCCCCGGTGGCGAGCTCGGGATCGAGGAAGGGGTGCTGCTCAAGTGGAAGGCCGAGTTTGGGAGCACGCTGGAGAGCTGCGTCATTCTCGGGGCCGCGTCCATGGTGGAGGCCGATGGAAAGTGGCCAGCGGCGAAGGAGCTCGAGGAGCCCGAGGAGGGTGGCGATGGCGGATGCATCCCGGACTCGTTCTACACCGACGGGGGCTTGAAGAAGCGGGTGGTGTGGACGATCAGCTCGCTCATCGCTGCCTCAGCGCGGCACTACTTGCTCCAGCAGATCATCTCGGATCATCTCACGCTGGAGACGCTGGTTCTCACGGACGCGGACGATCAGGGGCTGCTGTGCATGAGCAAGCGGCAGCTCCACGACTTCAGGGACAAGCCGGTGGCGGCGTCCGCGTCGTCGAGCAGGACGCAGGTACCGGATCTCAACATGAAGCTCTGGTACGCGCCGAGCTTGAGCCTCCCCAATGGCTGCTCCATGAAAGGCGTGACGCTGGTGGCCATTCGGCCGAGCGAGCGGCCGACCACCAAGGAGGACGATGGTTTCATAGCTCGAGCTTTCGGGGAGCCGTTCAAGACCGCCGCTTGCCTGCTTGCGAGGCGCCGGACTTACTTGCTGGAGATGAATTCCTTCTGACGAGAATGACTGGATCATGGTTCTTTCATCCGGCAGTGGATGAAAAGCCCCATGGAAAGTTTCGCGTGGCCAAAGTGGCCACTGTATCTGTAATTATTCTAGAGTACTTCCATGCAAGATGTATTTTTATGCAAGATCGTCACAGAAGATCTGTCCTTCATTAGTTCCAAAGATTCCAGCCAACTTTACAGATGAAATGGTCCATTGCGCGGCCAAAGTGGCCACTGATTTCTAGAGTACTTCTCATGCAAGATATGCAAGATCGTCACAGAGATCTTTCCTTTAGAAATTCCCAAAATTCCAGCCAGATGAAATGCTCCATGGCCCGTGATATCTATAATATTCTAGAGTGCTTGGCAAGATGCATTTCTATGCAAGATTGAATGGTCACAGAAGATCTTTCCTTTAGAAGTTCCCAAAATTCCAGCCAGATGAAACGCTCCATCGCGCGCGGCCAAAGTCTGATATCTATAATATTCTAGAGTACTTCTCAAGATGTATTCCCACGCAAGATTGAATGGTCACAGAAGATCTTTCCTTGAGAAGTCCAAGCTTGACGTGCCAACTTTTCCATGATACCTGGATCGCGCGGCCAAAGTGCCGATGTTTATGCACGATTGAATTGTCACGCAAGATAGAAGCTCCAAAGCTTGATAAGTTGCCAACTTTCGTCCAGCCAAGAAACCTCTAAGCCATGCTCGCGACGATGAGATATGGCGCGGCATTCGCGATGGACGCGCGGCTCGAGGACTGATACTTTGCAATGCGTGCCGCTCGATCGTCGTCCCTGTGGCTCTTGCAAGCCGCGAGCAAGCACTGCCAGTCCTGGAACTCGGGCTCAAACGGCATGCTGTGGATCACTTCCTCGGCCTCGTCCAGCCGCCCCGCCCGTCCCAGCAGATCGATCACGCAGCAGTGGAGCTGCTTGCTGGGAGGATCCAGCCCAAAGTCCTGGGCGATCGATCGAAAGAGATGGATGCCGGAGCTCGCGTCGCCGCGGTGCGTGATCCCGAGCATGACGCAGATGAAGGACATGTCGTCGGGCTCGAGGCCTTGCATGGCGATGGAGGAGACGATCCGCGCGGCGCGGTCGTGGGCGCCATGCTGCGCGCACGACACTGCCATCGCGTTCCAGGCCGCGAGGCTTGGATCGGGCATTCGATCCAGCGCCTGGCGCGCGCGGTCCAGCAGGCCCTTGCGCCCCAGCGCCGCGATCATCACGTTCCAGCACACGGCGTCGCGCTCTGGCATGGAGTCGAAGAGCTGTTTCGTCTCGTGGACGAATCCGTTGTGGGCGAGCACGATGAGGAGCGAGGTCCAGGAGAAGCGATCGTGCTCGGGCATCTGGCCGAAGATCGAGAGGGATTCTTGGAGATCGCCGGCGTTGGCATAGGCTGCTAGGATAGCAGACCATGCAACCACGTCCCTGGCGGGCATTGAATCAAAGAGATATTTTGCTTGATAGAGGTTTCCGGCTTGGGCGTGAGCGGATAGAATGGAGGTCGAGGCCAGGAGATCCAGCTCCGGCATTTGATCGAAGAGATCCATCGCTTGGGAAATTTGCCCCTTCTGGGTATATACAGTGAGTAGTGAGTTCCAAGAAACAAGATTATGCTCCGGCATATTCTCAAAGAAGGTTCTAGCTTGAGCAAGTAATCCGTGCTTAGAGTACGCATTAAGTACTGTGTTAAGCGACACTAGATTTATTTCTTTCATCTCGCTTAGAACAGCTTTCGCTTTAGACAAATACCCACTCGCGGCAAATGCTGCGAGGATAGCATTGCACGAAACTAAGCTCCACTCCGGCATAGCTTCAAAGAGTTTCCTTGCGTTTTCGATATCGTTGCTGCGCGAGTGAGCTGAGAGTATGCTAGTCCAAGTGATCTCGTCGGTCTCCGGCGTTGAATCAAACAGGCTCTTAGCCTCGTCCAGTTGCCCGAGCCGGGCAAGCACCGAGAGCATCGCATTCACGGCCGCCAGGTTCCACTCCGGCATGGCCACGAACAGCTGCCGCGCCTGGTCGAGTTTGCCGCTCTGGGCATAGGCAGAGAGCATGAGTCCCCAGGAGTAGCGATCTCTGGACGCTGCAGGGATGGAATCGAAGACCCGGCGAGCGCGATCCAAGCTGCCACACCGCGCGTAAGCCTGGATCATCATGTTGGAGAGGAGGAGCGATTTGGATGCAGTGATCTCCCGGAGGTGGGAGACTCGCGAGTGGGCATCCTCCGCCTCCGCAAGCGACCCACACGATCTGATAAGCTTGATGCATTGGTCCATTCCCTAAAGAGTTCGCTTTCACCAACATTTTTCTTCTCCACATGCTGTGCCCTAGTTCTTAACGTAAGGAAAATGTTCTATAATGGTTTTTGACTTTCTTTGACTGTTAACTTTTTTAGAATTTCTTTCACCTTTTATGCCAGCGTCAACTTCGTCAACTGCTTTGGCTTTTTCGGTTTATAAGAATTATTGCATCGCCAAGTTGAATCCAATTCAATGAGAAACTTCTCATAGAAAATCAGTGCAACTTGGGATGTGACCACTTTGATTTCGCAGCGACAGTGGTAGGCTAGCATAGAAACCCCACTTCTTCGCCATCTTTTTCACAACCTCCACGAGATGCTCTCCAAACAAAAGTACCCCTCCTTGCTTTTCCGTTCTCTGTTCTTCCGCAATGTGCACATCAAGTCGGTGTCGTCCCGCCCTCCAGATCTACGGCGGCATCGCCCAACTTGAAGCTCAAAACAAAAACACAAAGAAAGAGACAAGAGAAAGAGATTGGTCTTTTTGCAAAAACTTTCGTTTTATTCCCATGATCCAGAGCTTGGCAAAAACCACATTGTAATCTTCCACTGTACAACCAGCCCCACCGCGGCCACTCGGTAACGAATGGTGTTAGAGATCGAGCGAGAGCTCCCGTCGCTAGCAGCACCAAATCCCCAAGAAGAGAAGAGAAGAGAATGAGAAGAACAGCAAAAAAAAAAACAGAAAAACCTCCGCTCAGATCAGCTGAAAACGATGAATGGGGTTAGCATGAGTGAGTTCGAGAGTGTGTAGTACCACCACTAAAGCTACGAAACAAACAAACGAAAATGGCCCCCCTCCTCCATAGCCAGAGCCAGCCAGCTTGCCTGTCACTTTTTTCGTTCCTCCATCGCTCCATCTCTTCCTGCTTTTGATCCAGAGCTCTTCGAATTCGTCCAGTAGTAGAGAGGAGGATCCCACCGCAGAAAAATCGCCAGGTCCGCGCATGCAAGCCCCGTCCCTGGCAGGAATCTCGGCTGCTTTTGTCACCTTGTTTGTTCCAAGCTTTGTACTCAACCTCACTTTAGCCTGGCTTCGTTGCCCTCTTCACAGCCCGAGTGACAAAAAAGCTTCTTTCTGCTCGCCTTGCCTTGCGTTGCTTTGCCTTGCTTTGCTTGGCGTGTGGGAGAGAATATCTCCCTCCCCCTCTCTCAAAGCACAAAGCTTTCAAAGCCTTTCCCCCTGCGCCACCTTTTCCCTCTCACGGCCTCTCCTGGATCTCGAGCCGCGCGGCCTCGAAGATATGGGAATGGAGCTTCCGTATCCATCCGAAAGAGAGAGCCTCCGGGAAGAAGCTGAAGTTTTATATCCTCACTCCGTCGTGTCGAGCTCGTTGTTGCGTGACTTGTGCTCAAGCTCGCGGTAGCAGTGGGAGCAGGCGCTGCTAAACTCGGCCAGCCGGCTGAACACCACCGGCAAGTCCATCTCCAGGATCCCCACCGTCATCTTGCGCGTGATCTGCATCGCCCGCGTGAACCCGTCCCTCTCCTCATCCACCCTCTGCCGGAACGCCTCCAGCGCGTCCCTCTTCTCCTGCAGCGCGTCCCTCTTCTCCTTGAGCGTCTCCTCCGGCGTGGTGTTGGTCTCCGCCGCCAGCTTCTTCTCCAAGTTGTTGAGCGCCAACGACTTCTTGCTCAGCTCCTTGGCCATGGACTCGGCCCGCTTCTGCGCCCGCGTCTCGTCCTCCTGCTGCCGGACAATGTTGTGGATCTTCTCCGCGAAGCTCTTGATCGCCTCCACCAGCTCCTGCTCCTGCAGCCGCTCGAGCGCGTCGGTCCAGGCCTGGCACAGCGCCTGCACGGGGGGCCGCCTGTCCGACTTCCGGTCTGGCGTGTAGATGCTGAGCCGCAGCCACGAGTTCAAGTTGCGCAGGTACTCCTTCTGCTTGGTCACCAGCGACGCCAGCCCCCGCTGCCACTCGTTGAGCGCCACCTCGAGCTGGACCGTCGCCTGCTTATGCGAGTTGCTCGTCGCCTCCAGCGGCGAGCTCCCGGCCCCCTTGAGCCGGTTGGCCTCGTTCTTCTGCCGCTGGTGGCAAGCGTCCATGTTCTTCCACATGATCATGGTCCTGGAAGAAACCAAAGTTTGAACTTGCGTAAGAACATCTATACATTCACGAAAGCTTACGCTTCGAGCAGCTCTTTGAGCTGTTGGAAGAGCTCCCGGTCGGTGACCTCCTGGATCGACTGGGACGTGGCCTTCATGGCCTGCATGGACACTTGCATTTGCGTCTCCAGCATCTTGATGGCGACGCGGGTCTTGTCGATGGCCTCGTCCCTCGCCCCGCGCGCGTCCAGCTTCTTGAGCAGCTTGCACTTGCGCTCAAACTCTGCGCTGATGGAATCATTTTCCTGCCACCAACTTTGGTGAACACGAATAAGAGAAAAACCCAAACGCTAGGCAAAGACGTGACGAGGGGGAAGCCTTTCTCACCTTTACCTCCACGTACAGCTTCTTCTCCCACGCGTAGAGCTTGTCCAGCGTCGTCGCATGGCCGCTGCCGCCGCCGCCACCACCTTTCGTCGAGACGCTGCCGGCAAAGTCGTCGCTGGACGAGTCCTCGCTCCACGAGAAATGAGACCTCGGCGAGAACTGCGACCGTGACATCGCACGGAAGATTCTGGCAGACCGCTCAGTCAGTCCTACACACATCACAAAACACATGCGATCAGTGATCTGATCACAAAAACCTCTCTCTTTCCAAAGTGTACTTGCCTCGAGTATCCAAGAAACTATGACTGTGATTCTTCCGTGCCTCCAGGAGCCGAGAAACATCCGATCCGAAGCTGGACGCCTTGAAAAGCTCCTTCTCGATCCCCCGGAGCACGTCCCACAGCTCCCGGTCCTTTTTCGGCCCCAGCGACGCGAGAGGCGGCGGTGGCGGCGGGGGAGCCTCCGCCTCCACGTCCGTCTCCTTGTAAGACGTCGACGCCTCGTCCTCCTCGTACAAGCTCTTGGTCGCCTCCGCGAGCTTCTTGTACCCCTCCGTCTCGATCTTGAAGTTGATATCGTCCCCGGAAGTTCCAGAGCTCGAGGCCATGTCTCGAGCAGCTTCATGGTGGTGGTGGCGATCGTGTTCTTGGTCTTCTTCTTTCGGGTGGTGGAACTTAAACTTCTCCGGCGGCGGCTCCTCCGCCACGTCCATCTCGGGCTCCTCCTCCACCACGATCTCCTTCTGCTTGTCTTTCTTCTCCGGCTTGTGCGTCTGCGTCCCCTTCTCGGCCCTCTCCACCAATCTCTCCACTTTCTCCACCACTTTCTCCACCTCCTCCACCACCTTCTTCTTCGCCTTCTCCAGCTTCCCTTCCTTCTCCACGGCCTCGGCCTTCTTCCTCGCCGCCTCCTCCCGCTCCTCCTCCTCCTCGGCAACTTTCTTCTTCTTGGCCTTGGCCGACGGCGGCGGCGACTCCTCGCGCCGCCTGTGCGGCGGTGACTCCTCGCGCCGCCTGTGCGGCGGTGACGCCATCTCCAATGCAGGAATGTCCTCCTCCTCCATGGCCCGCTTGAGCTCCTCCTCGTCCTCCTCCACCACCTGCTGGAACGGATGCATCATCGACGGCACCGCGAAGATCCCGAAGATGTCCCACGACGGCGCCGAGTCTGGCTGCTGCATCATATACGCCGAATTGTAGCCCGAGTAGTAGTCCGAGTTGTCCGAGACGGGATAGGCCGAGGCGACCGAGGCGGAGGACGTACCGCCGGCAGTACCGCGCGGCTTGCCGGGCTGGGGGATGTCACTGTACAGCCCATCTGGCGGTGCATCCGCCTCCATGTAGCGCTGGTAGGCGTCGTCGTCGTCCCCGCCGCGCTTGGGCAGCACCACCGTGATGGGATCCGCGGGCTTGCTGCGCAGCGCCATGGGGCGGAGCTTGACGCGCCGGACGATCTCCTCCACGAAGAAGTCCTCCTCGTCCTCGGGCTTCTTGCTGTTCTTGAGCGGCGGCGTGGTGGGCGTGGCCGGCACGGGCGTGGAGGAGGCGGAGGAGGCCGAGGCGGAGGAGGAGGAGGCGGAGGAGAGCTGGTCCCGGAACTCGCCATCCGTGAACTGCTTGAATGCGCCGCCAAGGTTCTTGAGCGACGCCAGGTAGTCGGTGTGGGCGAGCGCGTACTGGTTGCGCCATCGCACCGCGTGCTTGATCGTGCGCTTGCGTGCCCGGCAGCGCGAAATCCCGGCCTCGTTCTGGACCTTGGATCCAGTGCACCCCATGATCTATCCCCTATCTATCCTTCCTCCTTGGCTGCCAAGAAAGAAATCTTTGTTCCTATCGCTACCTATCTATCCAGCTCGTCTTCCACCATAGGTCGCTCGCTCGAGCAAACCCTCTTGGTACCTCTCCCTCAAGTGGGATTGGAGAGGAGCGAGTGAGAGCCAAGGCCGCCGCTAGTTCTCCACAGAAGAATCCATATCCCACTGCCCATTCTCGAATCTCTCGGGGAAAAACGCTCAAGACACACGCGTGCCGCCGGCGATGAGGATCAAAGAGGAAGAACAAGCAAAGAACCTGTCGAGGAAGTAGCGATTCGTTGCTTTGCTCGCTTTCGCGTCGCCTATGTTGACTCCATAGCTGGGCTTCTTCTTGAGCTCCTTCTTCTATCCCTTTCCCTCTCTTTCTTCCTTCTTCTCGGACTGCCCGATGGATCGCGAGAGCCCGAGAAGACTGACCGAGCTCTACGAGGGCCGGCGCCTTCTCCTTCGATCCAACCCTCTTCCTCTTTCTCTCATCCTAATTTTTCTTTTTCTCTTGCGTCCTATCGCGAGAGTTTAAAGTAGGTAAATGTGGGTCGATTTTCCCCAACTCCCTAAAATTTGATTTTCTAACCCGGAAAGATTCTCGCCAAAGATTTTAGACCTTGGACTTTCTTTACCCGCGTAACCCGGCGGGGTAAAACATTTCTCCCTGCGATGCGATATGCTATGCGTGTTGTGTTGGAAGGACCTGGAAGTTTTTTTTCACTTTTTTATTTCCTTACCGCCTTTTATTTTTATCTCGTCGGGAATGCTTCATGTTCCCATCCAACGCTCGCCATCGCGCCACGTGGCGCGGAGGATCAGACCCCCGGTTGACACTTCGTTGATCCCACGGAGAAACTTTAGTTTCCCGGGCGACTCTCGCTCGATTTTCTTCGCCTTTTTTTCTTCGCTTTGATCGATTCTGTCCTTCGTGTTGACGCATCTGATTGCTGCCGTTGCTTGATTGCCGGGGGAGTCTCTAGCTTTTGAGATGCTGCGGGGCTGCTGCAAGAGAAACAAAAAAAAAAGAAAAAAAAGAAAGAACACGAAGAAAAAAACTTAACTTTAGAGGTCTCGAGAGAGGGCGGGGCGGGGTCCTTTGCTCCAACTCAAAGGGCACGCGAACTATTCCTCGATTCCTCAGGCTCGTCCCCGAATCGTCCTTGCACGCGTTCGTGTGTTCTCGTCGCTTGGACGTGTCATGCCTCGCCTGTTGCGTTGTTGCCCATGTCAGATCGTTACTGACTCGCGTAGAAGGCTCAATTGTATGCGTAGCGTTGAACTTGGTTCCCTCTAGCTTTCCCCCGCATCGTATAAAGCAGCAGCTAGCAATGTAGTTCTTCTTTCGCGTAGGCTTTTGTCGGTGTCAAAAACACTCACGCCAGTTTTGACGGGGACCTCCTGCTGGAGATTGCTTTGCTCTTTCTTGCATCCAGAAACTAAACACATTAAGTTCCAGATTGCAAAGGAAAACTTACAAACGCTGCAAACACTGTTGCAATGACTCTTGTGTTATTTCGATTTCACCGTATCGCCATGGACAACTTAGAGCCGGCTCCCTATGCCTCTGCGGAAGCAAAGCAAACAACGAGCGTAGCGTCAAAATCTGCAAGAGACGGGTTTTCTTACCTTGTTTCACGGCCGCCACTCCTCTTCCTTCGCCTGATGTCATCAGCAGCATTATGTACTTGTTTTTAGTCCGCAGCAGCTCATTCTCCAGAGCGCTCACCTACACAGGGAAAAAGGCTGTGAAACTTGCGAACAAGTCAAGCTTTGATGTACCTTCTCGAGGTGTGCGAAGTTCTGCACCTGTAGCTCCATGCACCTGCTTTCGGCCTCTGTTTTCTCCCGCTCCAGGGCCTGGCATTTCTTCTCCAGGCTCGAGCTCTTCAGCTCCAACTCTTCCAGCTGTTTTGCGTAATCTGGTGGCTCTTTCGTTTCGGAACTCTTCGCGGCCAGTTCCCTCTCGTACTCTTTGTTCTTGGATTCCAGCTCTGTGCATCTACAGTCTTGCGCGTTTCAATACAATAGAGGCATGATATAATGTGTTACTAACTTTGGACAACGTTTGCCTGCAACTCTTTCGGCTCTTTCAGCTCCTTCACGTTCTCGCTCCTCTGGGACCTGGTCCCAAGCGGCAACTCTTGTAAAACAAGTAATATGAAACAATTACCTCAGTGGAGCACTCTGTATAATCAACGGTACGGGTTCTTTTGCGTAAACTCCTTCCCGGAGTTTCTTCATTCGCATTTGAGATAGTGGGCCGCTCTTCATCGGGATAAGGCTGCTCACTAGGGCGTTCGTCGGAAACATTATCGGGTTCTTCAGGCACAGGTTCTGGACGTCGCAGAAGACGAGGAGGAGCAGGATAAGTAATCCTCTTCTGCTTCGGTTTCGTCTGGTAACCAATCCTCGAAGCGTTCGTGTTCCTGCAAAACTCGTCCACTGAAAAACAGAAAACGAAAACCAGCAGCCTACCAGTATTCGAGGGTCATTTGCTTCAGCCTGTTTTCCAGGCGCAACAGCAAACAAGTCTTCTCAAAATCTTGTTTATCATGAGCTGGTTCAATAAAGTTGGCCTCAAGAATCCCTGGAAACAATTGTGAGAGAGCAATGTCTTTATGAACTTCATCAGTAACACACCAATAACACCCCTTCCTCTGCTGCTATTGTCGTGAAATACGTTCCAAAATGGCTGCCAAGCAAAAACAAACAAATAAACAAATACAACTCCAGCACTACTGAGTACCATTATCAGGCGATTCTTGTGGTAAACGCAAAATCCATGAACATTCAGCAAAGGCGCTTCTTTTGTAAAACCAATACATGTAACCACCTGAAACAATTCAGAGAAAAGAAGAATATCAAACAAACAAACATAAATCCAAGTGAACCTCTCCAGAAGTGATGCCATCGACTTGAGGCTTATACATAATGTATTCAGGAAACTTGAGGTCGTCATCTATTTTATGATGGACCACAAGCTTTCCTCGCAGCGTGATACGGAAGCCAGATGGCAGTCGGAGGTAAAGTATCGACGCATAAGCCTGGAAAGGATCGGTGAGCATGATGGGAATCACGACTTCGGTAAGCCAACCCGGAGAGAGTATCGCAATTGATAAGAAAGATGCTTTTTATGTAGCTCCTTAGCCCGCGCATCCGACTTAGCTCCATTCTCGCGGAGCTTTATATCCTGTTAAACAGCCATCCAGTCAGTTGGAGATGAAAAACAAAACTGTACATGCGGATCCGTGTCAAAATCGAGCTCCAAAACGCCGTCATCATTCAACCACAAGTTGTAGATGATCACTTTGGTTCCGTGAGGCGACTCCATATCTTCGAACTGCAGGTAACATGTTTGAAATTAGCTATTTGATGGACCACTGGAATCAACTTAAAAAATAGAAAGAGAGACCTGCGCCAAAACTTGAGCCTCGGTGGAGAATGGCGACCACTGTAGTATTGTGTTCAGGTTCATCTCGAAGTCCTCTGTAGTGCTTCTGATCACCCTGCTGACATGTCCAGGAGATCCTGATACGCGCTCGTAATCCACCTGAGACAATATAAAAAATTAGCCAGCGCAATTTCTCGCTCATGTTATGGACAGTAACCATTGGAACTAGAATATCCCCACGACCGGTCTTTCTCAAGAAAGTGTATGAAAGTAGTCCAACGCTTTGTGTTGTAACGCTGCAAACAAAAGAGAGAAAAAGAAAGCCAAATAATCCAGACTTTCGTGTCGAAAGCGAGTAAACAAAGCGAACCTGTCACGGACACAACGTGTTAAAACGATAACATCCGCACCTAGACGCATTGTGCTCGTCTTAAATCCATTTCCATCTGCAGGCAAGGACAAATCAGGCAAGGAGAGACCGAGTCCAGGGCCACTTACACTGGCCGATTGCGTTGGCACATTTTTGGGAGTAGCCAAAACTCATACACTGACGTATCTTCTCGGGGCTCATACCACCTCCATTGTCTGCAAGGGCAAGCACGTAAACTCTGGCTTCAGCAAGAAAAAAACTCACACCTAGGAAAAGAAGACCAGGGCTTCCGTCACGAAAATTGGTCACTTTGTCGATCTTGATGAAAGTGGCACCGTTATTTGCCTGTGAATAAAGCAGCGTGAAGGAAAGGAAAAAAAAACGAAGAGTTAACCAAGCACCAAGCACAACAGCAGAATGTACCTCGTCAATGGCATTATCCAAAAGCTCCGCGATGGCTGCAAAAACGAGGACATGAAAGCTCCCTTTTAGTTTAAAGCGAAAGGGAAATGTATGTATAAAGAAGGAGAACAAAAGCCACACCTCCAAGAGCCCATTTGTGAGAAGTTGCATTGGAATGTAGGAACTTGGGATGGACTCGGACGTGATCCATGCCACCTGAGACCACCGATCAATACTGAAACATGAGAGAGAGAGAGAGAGAGAGAGAGAGAGAGAGAGAGAGAGAGAGAGAGCTTTTCTTCACTTACCTTGCACAGACATGCCGAAAGAGGAGGTCTCGTAGTCTCCAGCCCTCCAGAAATGCCGAAAGGAAGAGTCGGATGTCTCTCCCCCCGAGCACTGCACTGGCGCTGGCTCTACCTTGACGTGTGTGTTCTTGTCCACTGGCTCAATCTTGACGAAGGAGGAGATGGAGCCGATGATCTCCACCTCATCGTCATCGTCATCGCTGGTAAGATCGATCATGTTGTCTTCTCCCCCCATTCCTCCTCCCAACCCTACTATCGGTGGAACCCTGGAACAAACGGCTACTTACCTATGTCATAACATCGCTGCCCTCGAGAATGCTGCGCGGCGATCACAATATCCGCGCTTCCGTGGAGGCGATCGGCCACCACTCGCGGAATGGATCCCTGCCGGACGCGATGCGCGCCTTCGATTCCATGCCGGCCTGGAACCTGGTGGCCTGGAACGCGATCCTTGCCGCCTGCGCTCGCGGCCGGGAGCTCGACCTCGCCGCCGCGATCTTCCGGCGCATGCCCGATCGAAATCTCGTGTCCTGGAACTCGATCCTGGCGGCGTCCATCCGGGCGGGGCGGCTGGATAGCGCCGCGGCGATATTTCGCGAGATGCCGGCCAGGGATCTTGTTTCTTGGACCTCGATGCTCGGCGCCTACGCGCAGCTGTGGGGGATGATCCACCAGGCCGAGGATTTCTTCCGCGAGGCGATGCCGCAGCACGATCTGATCTCCCTGACCTGCATTGTGACGGCGTTCGCCAGCGCCGGGCAGCTCGATCGAGCCAAGGAAGCGTTCGATCGCGCGCCCGCGAGGGATCTCGTGCTGTGGAACTCGATCCTGGCTGCCTACGTCCACGCCGGCCGAGTCGACGACGCGAGGATGACGTTCGATCGCATGCCGGAGCACAGCCTCGTCTCCTGGAATTCCATCATCGCTGCGTATTCCCATCAGCCGATCGAGGCCGCCAGGCTCTTCGCCGCGATGCCGGAGGAGAATCTCGTGTCCTGGAACTCTCTCATTGCCGCGCACAGCAAGATCGTCGACGAGGCCGCCAAGATCTTCGTTGCGATGCCAGAGAAAGACCTGATTTCCTGGACGACGATGCTCTCTGCCTTTGGCGAAAGCGGCCGGATCGATGAATCGAAGCACCTCTTCGATCGAGCGCCAGAGAAAACCCTAGCGCTTTGCAATGCGATGCTCAATACATATGCCAGGCACGGGCATCTGCAGTGCGCAAAGAGCATACTCGACAACATGCCGGTCCACAGCCTTTCTTCTTGGAGCTCTTTTCTTACAGCATATGCCAGTAATGGGGATTTACATGCCGCTAGCCAGATATTCTCTTCTCTTCCTTGCAAAGATTCTATCCTTTCAACCGCCATGCTCGCGGCATTTGCCGATAGAGGGCATTTGCAAGAGGCAAGGCAAATCTTCGCCGCTATGCCCGATCGCGACGCCATCGCCTGGAACACCATCCTCGTCGCCCACGCTCGCGCCGGCAAGCTCCACAGCGCGGAGAAGATCTTCGATCGAATGCCCCACGGCCAGCGCGAGCTCATCGCGTGGGCGACGATCCTCACGGCCCACGCGCAAGCCGGCATTCCCAACCATGCCCGCCGCGTCTTCCACGAGATGCAAGCGTGGGATCATCTCGCCCACGACGCGTGCTTCACGAATTTCCTCCTGGCTTGCAGCCGCGACGGCCGGGTCGATCAATCGAGGCAGTGCTTTGGGTCGATGAGCGTGGATTTTGGGCTGCGCCCATCCAAGCAGCACTACTGCTGCGTGATCGACGCGCTGGGGCGAGCCGGGCACGTCGACGATGCGTACGGGCTGGTGGCGGGCATGCCGTACGTGGCCGACGCCGTGGACTGGCTTTGTTTCTTGAGCTCTTGCAAGAGCTCGTGCAAAAGCTATGGCCATTTCCAGCGCAGGAGGCTCGCCGTGGAGAATGTTTTAGAGCTCGAGCCGCGCAATGGGCCGGCCTACATTGTCCTCGCAAACGCTGCAAGGATCGATGGGGTGGACCTTCGCCCGATCACTCCAGAAAGAGAAGAGAAAACAAACAATCGTTGATTTTAACATTGTTTCGTTTCATACAAGACCAGGGTGATCTTCATGAGAAATCGTGACCCTTCCTTGAGTCGCTGGAAGCAATGGAGATTTTCCTTTCTCCTCTTCTTCCAAACTATATATTTCAACCAGACTCAAACAGACAAAACAATGTGAGTTCTAAAAGGAACTATATATGTCTCATCCTGCTTTCCTCATCTAAACAATGAAAAATGAAGGTTCTAGACACTAAACAAACTTGGGAAAATTTCATGTAATAATTTCCATTTCTATTTAAAATATTTTTACAATCTTAAAACTAAATAGTTTATTAATAAAATATATAGTGGCATAATTTGAAATAGAATTTATATGTAAAATTAATGGTGTTGTGAGGTCTAAATGTATGGCATATACTAATATTAGTGGCATATACTAATATTAGCGTGATGAGTTTTTGATACTAGTGAGATTAATTTGAATTCAAACCACTTGCTCTTATATATAACCTAAAATTTTTGGGTTAATTAATATATATACTTTTGTATTCCCTTTTTATATTCTATGTAGTCACATTAGTGGAGGTGAGGGGCAATTTTGATTATCTTTGAGGAGTGACTCATTTAGATTTGGGATTTTGGTTAAGATTTAGTTTTTGTATTATCCAAATCTTACTTGTAACTTTTTCAATTTCTTCTCTTTTGGTCTTTTTCCTTTTTATTCATCTTTAGTAACCTTTTCTTCCTTTGACTCTAAAGTAGTAAGTAGTGCAATTGTTAAATGCTATATGGTTAGAATTAAACAATCAAACTCAATTAATAATGGTATTCATAGCACGTGGTACAATTCCTTTTGCTCTTACTGCTAATCCTTACATCCAATCAAAGTTCTTCCATAGGAATAATGTGAACTATTAGTTCAACCATTTTATGGTGATTATTACTTATCATTCTTGGGATAATATTCAATGTTTACGTGAGTTTCTTATGTCTCCAAAGGGTGGCATTGTAGTGGTAAAATGGTGTTAACGTAGCCATTTGTGCGAATTTGAGTATTCTTCTAAATGTCTTCAAGTGCATATTTAAAAATACTGATGATTGTGATGATACTTTCTAACAATTGCATTGTTTTCATTAAAAGTTATTTGAGTCAATGATGTAATTTGGTGTTTACTTTCGAAACCTTTTACTTTATATGAAGCCAAATATGTCAGAATGAATCAAGTTAGGAATGTTGTGGTTAGTGCTTTATCAAAATCTTGTGAGATTTGTACATACACTTACTCTAACCATTCTAAATGATTTTTTTTAACTGGTGCAATGTTATAAGATATCACTTTTTCCACTTCTTGCTATATATCCTTTACTTCCACTTTTTGTGGGAAATAGTTTTATTCCAATGAAAGTTGATGCTGCTATTGCTCATGTTCAAAGATAAGGGCGAGGACATGGTCATGGCCATAGTGTTTACTATTGGGCATGTAATAAAGTTGGCCACACATATCAATGTTATCGGTATTTTTTGGATTGGCATCCTCGTGGAAGCATTAACATTAACAACATTTTGTTAGTGCTACTATGATGGAAGGTTTGAATACTAAAATTCTTTTGAAAAACGAGGAGTCATGCGAGTAATTGAGGGTCCTTCTACAAATAAGTTAGTGGCCCCTCCATTATTCTTTCAGGAGTATAATTGAGTAGTTCACTTTGCACCAATTCATCTAGTATTTATTTTCTAAGTTTGTTTTTATAACAAAAAATCTCTCTCTATGTTGGTTCATATAAGTTCAAGTTTATCTTTTATTACTCAGTCTGTCGCCATACATTAGCATCTATATTTGTGTCATGCAATAGAGCCAGTTTTCATTACATACGCTTATGCACAGGATAAAGCAAATCTAGTTGTGTATGTGGGCAATCTCAAGTTTTAGCTTCAATTATTGCAAGTGATGATGAGTTAAGCTTTTGACCTCATCTTTAGTATAAATTTTTTATGGCATAATTATGCCAAATGTGATTTTGAGGCTTTTCCCATTTGTTTTATACTTTTTCATATTTCTTTTATTCCTCTCACTTTTATTCTCTTTCGTCCTTTTATTTTTACCTTTGCTTCCATCACTTTTGTTCCTCATTACTTCCTTTTATATTTCCATTTTACTCTTTAGAGCTATTTAATAGTCTTTGTGTTGTAGTACTTGACCAACTTATGAAGGATCTCTCAAAATTTGACTTATCATTTGGGGTTAAGATTGCAATACATCATCTTATTCCAATGCTCATCCAATCAAAGTTTTTTTTTGTCATGGTCTCCAAAAAATATTAAGATTTTATGAGCAAACATCAAGGAAATGTATAATCAGCCAAGTTATTTCGCTTCAATAACGAAGTAACCATATCATGATCACCTTCTAATAATATCCAAGAACCATACAAATATATATAAAGTTTTTCAAAATCTCTTTCATTTAGTCTAAGGATTATAAACAGGCATTTATAGATCTTAAAGAGCTATTAACAAATCCTTCAATTTTGGTATATCTTGATTGCATTAAATTTGTCATTTTGTGTGTGGATGTTTCAAATATTAATCTTAAGGGTATCTTAATGCAAAAGAGTACAATTGTGTATAGTTAATGTCATCTCATTGCATATATCAACCATACATTATAAATAATGGAGGTGAACTACTTTATAACATAGAATAAATGTTTAGTAGCAATTTAGGTTATTACTCTTTTTCAAGCTCCTTTCCTTTCTTTGATGCTTTTTATAATCTTGTTGTTTTAGCATTTATGGTTTTTTAAACAAAAATTCTATGTCATCAAATGTTGTTATATTTTATGTTTAATGTCCACAAGGTGCAAAACAAGATTTACCTTCTATTAACAAAGTTCGTGAAGTTTAAAAGGTTTAGTCATGGATCCAAAGGCTTCATAAAGGGTTTGAGAATCTTGCATCACTTGCTATTGTTTTAGCATTTATATACTCAAGATCAATTTGAGAACAACTTTGTTTATTTTATTAAAATTGATTTTAATGATTATTTATGACTGAAAATGCCTTTGATATTTATTCTACACTTTTTCCATGCTTATCATGACTCTCTTATTCTATGAGGGCATATAAAACATCAAATTGTGATTGAGAAGTTATATAAGTATTTTAATTGGTCAAAGATGCAATATGATATTGTCTTATATGTGGGTAATTCTGTTTATCAACCATAAAACTCCCTATGCGATAAACAATTTCGAAATCATATATCTAAAGCTTTGCCTACATAGTAATACAACCAAATTAAGTTCATTATCCACAGTCAGATGGTTTGATGGAAGGGCTTGTTCGAAGCTTCAAAAGAATAATTGTGAAGTATATGAACTTTTAATATTCAGATTGAAATAGTTGTTTGCCATCTTTTTAATATGTATATGCAATGTAAAGTTTTGTTGGTGCTGCGCCATATAAACTCCTATATAGTCATAATTTAATATTGTTAATAAAGTTGAGTTTACCTTGACTATTATCATGAGTTATTGATGTTACATCTTAGTATTAGTATTTAGAAAGTATTCTTTCACTTGTCTAAGTAGAGTTTATTAAACATTTAAACCCTATACAAGTGGGACAACAATGGTGCTATAACTTCTATCATCGCTCACCTATAAAGTATAAAATAAATGATTTAGTGTTAATATATTTTCCCAATTTTATGGTACGTAATTTGTTTAAAAGGCTCCTTGCTCATTGGAAGGAATTATATTAAATATTGTAGCAAATTAGATTACAAATTTATGAAATTTAGTATGATGTTCAATAAGCCAATCCTCTAGAAATTATGCATGTGGAACAATTGAAACACTTCATATAAAGGGATTAAAAATAATTAACACCACTTACAAATCCATTAATGCCTCTTCTTGATGTTCTTCTTGATCTCAGCCTATCCATTAAAAAACTTTGATTACCTTTCATCCTTTTAATAGGAGGGGATATTTTGAGGTCTAAGTGTATGACTGTAGTGGGTTTTTTACAACTGTTGAATTAGTTTTAATCTAGACCATTCATTTAGGATATAAAAATATTTTAATATAAAAAATTCTCAATAGTGATAACAATTCTTTATATTATCCATCAGGCCAATTAGTGCTTCTCTTCGTCTTATTTAATGACTACAGCCCCAGATCATGTAGATGACTATGTCTTCATTTTCTCATCCCATGGATGTGCTGTGTGTGTTGAAGCTTGGGAGGTTCAGGGATCGGCTCTGCATGTTTCAGCTAGTGCGATGACCATATTCCGCTAAACCCAGTCCACAGTCGTGTGAGAAGCTGCCGATGTCATCACCTTTACTGCCTCCACCATCACTGTCACCGTCACTGCAATGTGCCGGCTTGTGCTGTCTGTTTCCTTCGCATTTTGTTGTTGTGGCGTTAGGGCAGTCCAAAATCAGCTACAAAAGTAGAGTACGTAAAGATCTTTGAGCTTGTTGTAAAGATTATGGTGGATTTTAAATCTTGTAGTGCTCTTGATCTGGTTCCCTGCAGCCAGTGCTGTTGCGTGGCAATTTTTCTGGGCTCGCACTTGGGCTTGGAGCATGATCAATCATTGCTGAGTGTGTTGGAGCGTTACTTCGTCATGATGGACCCTGCTTGGGGTTGAGTGTATGTGTGGTGTGCCATGGACACTGGTGTGTTGCCCGCCTCCGCTTCTTGTTGCTGGCCTGATGTAAGATGCATCATTCATCGCCACGGCTGTGCTGATCACGGATCTAAGTTGGTCAGGGTTGGGAAGATTGGCTTGATCACCTTTTTGGACATTTCCTTGCGTTTCTGGTTGTCCTTTTGCCCTTTGCTGTTGTCTTTCGGTGGCGGCTGTTTCACGACTGCGGGTGTAACTTGTTGATTGTCTAGGATCAGACGCGGTGCCTTGTTTGTTGCTCGTTTTTGCCCAGCTTCATCGGCAGCGTCAGTGTGGAGCTTGACGGCATCCTCCAAAATCTTCTAGTCCTCATTCATAGCTGTTCTC